ATATATATATATATATATATATATATAAATATACATTATAATTTGTCAAATACTAATACTTAAATTTAATTAACTTTAACTTGGGTAATTAATACCACAACTTTTATCTATAAATTTAAATTTCCATTTTTTATATTTTCTTTAAATTTATACTTTAAATTCTATCTAATTTATATACCAAAACAAAAATTCTAATTTTTAAAATAAATATTTAATATAACAAAAAAATTGTTGATAGTTGTCAAATTCTCAAAAACTTACATGCAAACTAGACTGGTCCATTTCATTTACAAAAAACTATTTAATTAATTTATTAATAATTATAAAATATCACTTTATTATTTACTTATTTTCAATGGTTTATACAACAAAATGATAAAAACAGCAAATGTTATTTTTACCACTTGTACAAATCTTTAAAAATAAAAAATAAAAAATAAAAAGAAATATTTTAACAAATAATAAAATAAAATAAAAACATTTTCTCAACCAAACGTATCTTTCCTCGCTTTCTTTGGAGGAAATTTCCGAATGCTAAATTATTTCTTCTGCCATTCATAATTACTCTGCAAAAGAAACGAATCAGATAACGCATAATCTTGTTAACCAAACTACATCAGAAAAGGGGGGTCCCAAATTAAACTCATTCATTGGACAGAAATAAACTAACTCAGACATTTGTTTTTTCCTTTGCGTAAAATTATCTGTTTTTTTTTGGCAATGATGTTCAAAATACTGTCCTACACTAAATATGACACTTCTCACAGTAAAAATTCAAACATTGATTCTCAAGTTATGAATGACTAACTCCTTCCATAGATCCAATCTAGAATAACCCCCACTTCCCTTTTACCAAAAATCCGGGAAGACAACGGCTATAACCTAACACCTTTTTTTTTTTTTTTTTTTGGGTTGAAACCCTGTCTGCTGAAGCATTAGATAAAATAAAATAAAGATACTAGCACCGACGAGCAAAGTGTCATGGTGCAATGGACCTTTTCTGTATGGCATCACGATGTGAGCACCAAGAACTTACAAATCAAAATTCAATCCCTTCAAGAAGCACACAATTCAGAAGAGAGCAAATGCAAACGTACCAAGAAGACTATATCCTAAGTGAGTACAACATGCCAAAATGCAAATATTGCATTCCATCACAGCAATATGTTTGGTTTCCGAATTGCTTTGTACTTGCTGTTTTACACATGAACAAAATTACAATGGAATAAATTTCATTGTCATAAAGGAAAACAAAGCGACAGCCCGATCATATCCGTTCATTCAACATTGATCTGGGAAACAATACCACATGAATTTATTTAAATCTGTCAACCCGTAACATTGTGAAATGTTAAATAGTTTTGCACATGGGCCAAAAGGATCATTCGCATGGAGAAACCACATCACACTAAAACCAAAGCGGAAGAAATGCAAGTGAAAAAAGTTCTGTACTTAAATTTGAGTTTAACCTACAGAAGTAATTAGGAAGCCTTCTTCACTAATAAGTAAACTACAATCATCAAGTTCATAAACACTAACCCACCTGGTGATTGAGGTACATAGGTATACCTACAACAATGGCATTGCTTGAAGCACATGCTTTCCACTAGATATTGAATATTTCCCATTTACATTCTATTAATGCTTGTGATTAATATTTACTGAAAGTTTAATTTGTCATGGATCTTCTGAAAATATTAGTAAGATGGGTAAGAGACTGGGCTACTTCTATTAATGCGACGTGACCTAGAACGGCTAATGCTATCTGATGGTGCCCCCAATGCTCTCCTGCTGGATTCATAATTGTTGCCACTATAGTGAGATCCATACCCACTAGGTAGGTCAGTTACACGAGAAGGAGGAACTGGCATTGGATTTAAAAAAATTGCTCAGCAAGAATTAAACTATGTTCTGATAAGATTCTTCTATTGGCAATAAAAAATCAATCTAGACATAGAAGAAAGTTTAGCTAGTGAATGAATACATTACCTTGAGAATAATTTGCTGCATAATCAGAAAATCGGTCAGATGTTGATAGCCTAGCATGGTGCTGAAAATTTTCTGAATTATTTATTGGCACTGGGTAAGGCCTTGGTTTTTGAGAAGAATTTGATGTTGGGGTAATTGCTGTAGAACCATTAGAGCTATTTTTGTCTCTCCCAGATATCTGTTTATTGGCAGATTGTACATGTCATTAACAAAGTTCAATAACAGGACAAAAATCTAAAAATTCAATAACTATTTATTACATGGATCTGCAATCAAATCCAATGTCATATGATGTCACAATGTATCATTGGATACTTGGACACATACAAAAGTTCTTATATGGCACCCAGACAAAACAAAACAGCAAGTTCAGTCCTGCTCCATTCTTCTTGGTTTCGCTAAAAAGGAATACTCCCTCCAATCCTTATTATAAGGCACAGTTTAGAAGAAATTGTTGGTCTTTTTATAAGGCACTTTACAATTTTTATAAAGCATTAGTTTTATTTTTCATTTTTGGTCCCCATTAATGATTGTGAGAGTATGTGCTCTCTCTCACCTTTTAGACTCTCCAATTGTTATTTATCCTTTTCATTGGTATTAGTGCATAAGCCTTTATATGGAGTAATATCCTCACCTCTCTCATAGACATTTAATGATAAGTATGAAGGTTAAAATTATTAAATCATGATTTTGTTTTCTAAACTAAATGAAATCAACTAACATAACTGTTTATATTCGTTCATGTGATTCAATTAAAAGTGTCTTACAATAAAGACCAGAGGGAGTATTGTATTGTTTAACTACATACATATCCTTTTTCAATCTATTTTAGAATATACCAGAAATAGAATAAAATGTTTTGTCCCATTCTAACATGTATGTAAAACAGAACAAAATGGAGCATTCTGCAATCCTTGGTTTAACCTTTTAAATGGAACCAAAATGTATTGTTTTTAAACACGTCTTGTGCAGTTATATTTTAAAGGGAAAATGTATTCAGACACCGTAAACTTTGGGGCTTTTGTAAATAGACACCATCAACCAGCTAGTGAACAAGTAGAGGCCAAAAATATACAGACTGGTAAAAATTATCCAGGTGACCAATGCCAGAATAACAAGCAAGGAAAAAAGACCAATTGAGGCTTCAAAAGTTTCTTTTAATAAAGTAGAATACTTTACGAATTTAGTCAAATAAACAAGAGAAAAATGAAATATATGTGTAAGTGTAACGAAAACATCCAAACTTTGGCTACTTGTTCAAAGAATAGGAAAATTCCATTGCTCAGTATAAGTGGTAGCCAATTGAAATTGAAGTTGGTGTGAAGAAATGTTAGGAAAAAAAAGCATCAGGGAAAAAACAAAGAATACGTGAACAAAAATTAATGAATGGATGAGATTAAATGGTTAGGGCACCTATTTAATGGCAAGACCTATTGCAACAATAGGTACAGTTTAGGGACTAATGGAAACAAAATTAAGTTGATGATGTCTATTTGCAAAAGCCATACAATTTAGAATGAATGTGTACAATTTTACCTCTTTTTTAAAAGAACCAAAATATGTTTTCGTCCCATTCAAACACATCTACCAAACACTACCAAAAAGTTGAAAGAGGTGCACCCATGAACCATATATACCCAGCTATGACCAATAGTACATGGCTGCCTTGCAGAATTTCCACTCAATGAGACCATATTTTCATTCAACAATTTCAAACAAAGATTAAAAAGTATCTAGGTCTTAACTCAACAGTTTGAAAGCAGAGATGTCAAGAACATACCGCAAACTTAAGTGTTCTGTTGTAGAGTGTTACAAGGCCCGAGAAAAGCTGGACAGCATAGTCTGCAATCTCCTCTGTTTCATATTCTGCGAAGGCAAAACCTTTTGGTTTCTCTGATTCCTTATCTTTAGGAATGTGCAAGTCTACCACTCGTCCAGCTTGAATTAATATATCATACAAGACCCTGTCTGTCACCCTCTCATCTAGATTGCCTGAGTCAAATAGAAGTAATTAAATCAGAACCCAAATGCAGATGCTCTTATTATCTATACTTAAGTATAAACCCAATTATCCAAAAACCTCCAAGAAGATATTTATATATAAATAATAAACATCTCAATCAACCATCATTGAGAATTAAAAACCTGTTACAGAAACCCTAGGAAAATAATAAGATAAATGCCAGCCTGGATAGCACGAAATACATTCTACCATCATTGTAGTGAAACATCAGATCATGTAAATATTATTAACCATATTTATCAAAGAATCATTTCTATCGATAGAACCTTTCACAAAAAGGAGATTGACAGTGACCATTACAGGACACTTTCACAAAAAAACTCCATCAATCATGCTCTATTGAAAGAGACAATAGTTCTTATCAAAAGATGAAAATGGTATGAAGTGCATTCGAGCAAGCAAAACTTCTGTTCTTCATGCATCGACTATAGCACAAATATGGAAGAAGAGCTTGAGTGAAAATATACTAATTAATGATCCCACCAGCAAACTAAATATAAACATAAATTTCAGCTTTCTCTTTAAAAGGCTAACTTATCTTCTTCCCATCATAGTACTTTCCTTCTTTCCTCTCTTTTTAAAATTTTATTTTCTATTAAAATAAATTTCAGCTTTCCCTATAAATTTGTCTAAGGTCCTTTTAGTCCTTTGTATATCCCTTCCCTTCTTTCCTTCCAATAGAATCTTCTTACCACAACAAAAAAATTATACCAGTATTTATTCACTGCAAACAAAATATTGTAGTGTGCAGACAATGTAATGAATCAAATCAAAAACATTCTTCCATACAAAGATCACAATTTATTCTTCCTTGGCCTAACTCTAAATTAACAGGAGAAAGATAATGACAATGTTCAACTATATGCCCTAGAGTTTGTAATATTTTCAATAGTCTATTGATATTTGTTATAATATCGCTAAAGTTCTATACTAAAATCAACAGTTTGTCTAAGGATATGAAGTAATTGGGAATTTGGGAAAAGGTTGAAAGGGGAAAAAAAAAGGTATCGCAAATGACAAAATTAAGCATAGCTGCAAAGAAATTGAAAGCATAGTGAGCTTACCTATGTAAACACTGCATTTTGAGTTGCCAGACATAGTTGTATCTGGATCTGATTATGAAGCCCAACCCCGACGGGACGATGCACAACTGATTAAACTCTACCCTCACACAGGATGACACTAAGTTGCTAGCAAGTATCAGAACCTAAAACAAAGGAATTTTTGAATCACAATAGCAACTTAAAGGCTAAAAAATTAGACTTCGTTAATGTGTTTGTGTGTGGCTTTGCATAAACAAAACAAGGACTTTGATCAATGGAGAGATCACACACTTTAGCAGCGGCTTTTCCGACGCGGCGTTAAGCAAAAATACTTGTCTGAAAGGAGATGCGAGAAAGAGAGAGACCTAGGGTTTTTCTACTTTCACTTGCTTCTAGGGAATTCGAAGTGCGTTACGATGCGGAATCACAATATTCCTGATTTTATTATATGATTTTAATCTCTTAGATAAATTTATTTTTTATCTCTTAAATTTAAAATTAATATTTTTTAATTTCTATATTTTTTTTTGTTATTATATTTAAATTTTATTAAAAACATTATTAAATATTATCATATAAAATTTACCTATTAATATTTTTATTGATAAAAATGTCACATTAAATTTAATTAATATTATATAACCGTTTTAATTTGTTATTTTTAGATATTAAATTCAATTAATATTATATAATCATTTTAATTTGTTATTTTTATATATGTTATTGATAATTTGAGAGATTAAAATAAAATTTTTAAAAATTATAAAAACTAAAAATAATAATTTTACATTTGAGGACCAAAAATAAATTTATTTTAAATTTGATGGACTAAAAACATATTTAAACAAAAAAAAAATATGTAGGAATCACTATTGTGACTGTCCAACTCCATTTGGATTTCTGTAATTTATTTTTATCTAATTCAATTCAATTCAATTATGAATTATGTTAATGAATTAACTATAATTAAATTTATTTATATTTTATAAAAATTTAAATATTTTATATTAGATATTTGATATTATATTTTAAATATAATATTATTGACTCAAAATAATAATAATATAAATTAAATTTTAAAATAAATTTATAAATTTGTTATTTTATTTTCGGTTCAAATAATTAATATTATACAAAATGAATATATTATATTATTATAGTACTATTATCTCAAAAGCACAAAATTTGACCAAGAACAATAGAAACTATATTTTGAATAAATGATCATTTAAAATTTTAAATACTAATTTATTATTTTAATTATCATTATTATTACATTTAATCGGTCAAATTGAATTATAAGTAATAAAATACAAAATTTATTATTAGATTTAAATAGTGTCAAATTTTGATCAATTTAGATCGAGTTTAATCTAAAAAAATCTAAATTTGATAAATTAGTTTGAACTTAAGGTATTCATGCTCGTAGGATAAAGAAACTCGAGAAAGAGTGACGATGAAATTTGCGAGTTTTGAATGAATTAATCATAATTGTTGATTTTGTTGAGTGTGTTTGGATGGAAAATTTAAATAGGATAATTTATTTGTTTGAAAATTTTCAAATTTTTTTGAAGTCAAATGCTCTATTTAGATGGATAATTTACAAAAAATTTAAAATTTAAACATTTATGAAATTCCTTAAAATAGTAGAATTTCAAATTTTTCAAAAAAAAATAAGAATTTAAATTTTGTCATATTTATTTTTCTTATTTCACTTATATATTTTATCTTATCTTTTATCTCTTCATTCTTTTAATTATTGAATATTTAAAAATATTTTTTAAATTATTAAATTTTATCTAATATTAATTTTAAAAATTATTAAATATTTTAAAATTATTTAATATTTATTTTTATAAAATTAAATTTAAAAATATCAACATATGAATATACTTTTAAAATCAATTTTATTGTGGTGAAATCAAATTAACATCTCTAAATTAAAATTTTAAAAATTTAAATTAACTTATCAAAATAAAATATGTTTAGAATAATAGAAATTGAAATCAAAATAATTCAAATACAAAAAATTTTAAATTTCTTAAATTTGTAAAATCTCTTATCCAAACATACTAATAGTTTTACTTCACCCAAATTGATGATTCTTGATTTTTCTTTTATTTCTTTCCTGTTTTGCGTACATTCTTGATTTCATTTTATCATAAAGAAAAAAGTTATATAAAAAAAAAAGAAGAAACAGATTACTATATTTAAAAAAAAATCTCTATGTACACGAATTTATCACTACATGCAACACAGAGTCTGGTTTTATTTTTTATTTTTATTTTATTTTGAAGGATATAGTTGACATTAGTGTGAGATGTGATGTTACATTGACTTGAATTGTTTGGAAAATGTGTATGGGATTAATGTTGTTAGGGATCTATACATATACGTTTTTTCACAAGGATTGATTAAGGCTATTTTCATTTCATACCATTAGTGGCATTCATATATTTCATATTTTTATATGTATTTTTTTTAAAAGAAAAACATCTATTCAACTAATTTGTTCTTGATATAGATAATATATATTTTTATGTTAAAATTGATATTTATAATTATTTTTTCATATTCATTAATGAAGATGAAAGTTGAACAAGAAAGTGATAACTTTAACCTCACATGAAAGTCTTAACTTACTTTCACTTTGTTCTTAGTATACTTTTATATTAAAATTGTAATCAGATATTGTCGATTAAATGACTTATTTGTAAAATTCCATCACTCCCAAACTAGAGAAGGCACGACATGCAACTTGAAACTTTGAAAATTCAAAAAGCTTGCACAAATCCTCATATTGCTTCTGAGTTCTCTCTCTTCCACCAACAGTGATAAACATGAGGTTGTCAAGAGTAGAGACAAGCTGGGATTCTTCAGTTGGTTTTTGTTCTTCTGGCAATATAAACTCCACAACCACCACCTTCCCATTTGGAGACAATGCTGTGTGACAATTTCTTAAAAATTATAAGCATTTTTCATCTGACCAATTGTGGCATACAACATACAATAATATCATCAATTAAAGACACAAAAAGTGTTACCACCATAACAATGAGAGTAGATGAATATATCAAGTCTCAAGTGATATGATCGTAAAAGTTAATTAAGGTGTTTAAAATGTGTACTAACCTTAAGTATCATGGCATCACCCTGAGGAACTCTTTCAAACATATATCCTCCAACATGCTCAATCCCTTAAAAGAAATTGGTTATTTGTTGTTTAGCAATTTGACAAAGTATATACTAAGATATAAAAGTATAAATATGTTTATATCAGTTAACATTTTGATATATACATCTTAGCTGTTCATATACCAAAAGATGTGAAATTTACTTTTAGCAAAAGTATTGGACAAATTTATAGAAATAAATGAACGTATGCATTTATAGAAATTTACTTTTAAATTTTCTAATATTTAAAAGAAGATTTAGAAAACTAATAATATATTAAAAAATGGTTTCTTTATGATTTCCAAAATTAATGTGTGTTAAAACAAAAAAATCCAATCCATATACATTTCATAAGTTTATACGAAACACATGAATAACAAACCAAGACAGAGATGTATGCAAGTTTTGATACCAAATAATAAATAAGATTCAACAGATCATGCATATACATAAAAACAAATAATGTATATGACAAATGAATATATAGGTGTGAAAAGATCACTAACCTTCAAACATTACTTTTTCTGAAAGACAGGATTAAATATATATTCATATTTTTATATATTTTTTTAGTTCTTATAACACCACAAATTTTAATGTTTTAAAATAATTATATGATTAGTTAATTATTGATGTTAAAGTTGTTGTTTTAGAATTCTAAAATCAAGTGACTCTTAAAATTAAATTATCTTTTAAAATAGTTAAAACATAATTAAGTTCGTTCATCTTATAAAAGATATATAAGATTTTTTTTTTAAGATGTAAAATTCATAACTTCATTCATATATTATGCATGAATGACTATGAAATTGTTGTATGATAAACTTAGATTAGTTGATGTTTGTTTATTCTCTCCACTATATAATAGTTAAGTTATAATAAATATATAACCTATGAAGTCGTGACTAAATTTAAAGTTATAATACACGAATAATTATTGAGAAAAAATATTATTAACATTATTATTCTTGTTTTATTTTTTATTTATTAATAAACTTAATTATATATCTTTTCGAATATGAATATGATTGAGTTAGTCCATCAAGATCAATAATAAATAAAAAATTAATAATAGATATGAACCAATTGAAATTGGTTAAATTGAATGAAAAAAAATGCCTTTAATCTAATATGATTTATGGCCACTTGTAATCCAACTTTCAGTAATAAGATAAAACTTAGTTACAGTCTCATAAATATATTTGGCGTTATTTTAATAAAATTTAAATTTTGATTGAAAAATAATATAAATTACATTTAATTATAATATTATATGTAAGTTTTTGTATATGGAAATATATGTGCCGCGTGTTTCCTCCTTTCAGATCAAACGTCCATATTAGATGGTCCAATCATCAACGAAACTCAGCCAAATCCCTTGAATTATATTTTCTCACACGACCTCGTTTTGACGCTTGAACACGTTTTATTGGTGCTACATTTATTAAATTAAGTCTGTTCCAAGGTCAACAATGGCGTTTCCCAATTCCACGAATAAAATAAAATAGATAATAGAAACAAATATTAGCTATTTGACTATTTCCATTTCCCGCTCTCACAGTCACATTCTTGCTCACTTCATGTTCATGGATGGCTATTGCATTCTCGATTCAGCAGCGTCTTCTTCCGACGCATACTGGCTCCTTCTCCGAGTCCTCGCTCTCGTTCCTCTATGGCATTACCTTCTCCTCGCAGCGTTCATTCTCTTCTCCTTCATCTACAACTTCCTAGAGCTCCATTTCCTCCAAGACCTCTTCTCCGGATTCCCAGGCTCCCCCGTGGCTCTCTCCTACAACGCCTCCTCGCAAATCTACCACGGCGTCGTTTCCAACTGCAAGATTCTTCACGGAAAATATTTCGCCACGCCCTGGCTCTGCAGTCCTCACCTCCAGACTCTTTTCGTCAACTACTTCGGGAGACCTCCCTCATTGAAATACACTAGGTCATACATTTTTCAAATCCACAATCTAATCCTGATTTTTTTATTTTATTTTATTTCATTTTCCTGTTAGTGTTGGAGATGCGGTCAAAATAGTGTATAGTTAATAAGCGGGAGACAACCTTAATCTCATGAACTAGGTTAATTGTTGAGTTGATTTAGTTAATTCCAACCAAAATTCTAAGATGGAATTAGAGTACTGTTGTTGTTGTAAATAATCAGATTTGCAAATTTCATGCTAAAAATGCCTAGTTCTTGATGTAAGAAGGTGGGATTTCACATCAACTAGTATGATTGTTGTTAGGCTAGTCTAACTTTTGAGATTCACTTAGGTCTAAACTCAAATTCTAAGATGATATTAGAGTATAATTATTGTCGGGTCTATCAGGTCATTTATGTGATGATGCCTAAATCATATGTATGTTAATGATACCTAAGTCATATGTGAGTTATTAATGCCTTTTTGATTATGCCTGAGTCATACATAGATTGTTGGTGCCTACGTGATAATGTCTAATCGGCCTATTTCATATGTGTGTTCTTTGTCGAGTTATTATCCAACTGTCTACATATATTTAATTTCATGTTTGAGATGTTTTTAGTCTTTGGTTATAAGAGATTGTGTTGAAGATTCTACTTTGACTAATGATACGATTCAAATAATATATGACTAAAGTAGGGGACAATTTTTGGGTTTAATTAGGCGAAGCCCAAGTTATAAGACTCTTGATTGAATTGTTTAAATTTGACAATGCTGAAACTCTACATAATTAATTATCTTTCAGACAACTATTTAGGACTGCTGATGGTGGAACCATTGCCTTGGATTGGCTATCGAGTTCTGATGGTATATTTTAAGTGTTCAGTTTTTGTGTTTTGAACGGCAGACTTAACTTAATTTGGTGAGAGCTCAAGGCCTTACAAAGCCCACACAGATATACCCTACTTCCAATGTGAGACTCAGGTCCCATACCTTGAAATTGGATCCTAACATCCCACCATCACCATGTACTGCAACCTCAATGCCCATGCAGGTTGGCTGGGCACTAGCCTTTGACTAGTTTTGGGCAAGCATTGCAGTGTCTATGTCACCACCCACATTGCTTGTTTGAGAGATATGGTGAAAAGCTCTGACACAAACGGATCAAAACTTTAGAAGAACCACACTTCAAAAATTAGCCATCATAGTTGGAGAGCCCAATATCTTATATAAACCATGCCAAAATCCCGTCTTTGAATGTGGGACTCAAGTCCTTTACCTTTCAACTGGGATCCTGAACAGTCTACTACTCTATTAAAGTATCACATATACATACAAACAGCACATTATCAGCATCATTACAAGTCCATCCTCAAACACAGAACCAACAAATTACAACCCATCATGTCAGATGTCAGCAGCAGAGAAATTCCTTGGGGAGGAATAGTCTAAACAACAAACATGGAAGCATTACAACCATGTCAAAACACAAACAATTGGTATCCAATTCTACAGAGACTTTTGGGCAATCTTATAATCAGAATTTATGACATGTAGATCAAAATAATTATAGATGCAGCACAGAGAATAAAGCATAACCAGTTTTACTTGAAATGATGAAATAATGTAATATTTCATTGGAAAATTCACACTGTGATTTCTAACATCCAAAATCCTCTCCAACCCCACAAAATAAAATAAAAGATAAAGTAGACCTGTTACCGTTTTGGTGGCTGGGGTCCTCAAGCGATCAGAGTTTCCAAATATGCAAGAAATAACAGCAATGTGGCACCTGCTGATGTAACTTGCATCATCTTCTGTCAAGTCAAATCCAGTACTTTGAGACCCTTCAGGACCTTTAACAAAACCACACTTTATTTTCTGATCACGTGCCAAAAATGAATTTTCTCTCTCTTCTAAGCTCTGATGGCCTGCAAATCTGGGCACCCAATGTTCTTCTCCCGGTGGCTTTTCTTCTTTATCCGTGTACTGTAAGTTAAATCTTGCAAAAAAAAAAACAACAACCTGGACCAAGTCCACCCTATAAACATAACCCAAAGTCACACATCTCTCTAATATCTTACAAAGTGCTCATTACTGCCTAACCAACCAAGCCATGGATACATAAGACTTGAGCTTGGCTAAAATTAGTAACACTTGTGCATGTAGCATTGACTCACCTCCTTTGTGGAGTATAACACCAAAAGCCTCTTCTAATCCCTACTAAGATATTAGGGAAGGAAGAAAACGAGATGAAAACGATTGCTTTGAAGCAAAACTAGTCTCTAAGGGCCACAAGAATATCTTTTCATGTGTCCAAAATGGAAAGAGAATAACAAGACTAGATGATGAAGAGGTACCAATGGACTTGTTATGGGAGGTTTTCAATGAGGAGTTGTCTTCAACAAAGTGTGCTACCTCTTTCTCTTCAAGAGAGATGATTGAATTCAGATGTACTATTGCCTTAACAGTTGTCAAGGTCAGAAGTGTTTTTCTTCAAATAAAGAATAGGCCTCCTATGGTGCTTATTGTTAAGGTTTTAAAGAATCTCTTTTCCACTAAAATTTTAAAAGTAAATTAAGAAAAATGATATTCTAATTCTAATTTTATTTTTGACGATCAAACTATTTTCACTAAGAATTATTATTCGTTTTTTCTATAAGAAAATTGTTTGGTTAATTATGAGTTTTTAATTACTTTTATTCCATGAGGAGTTTAGGGTCCAATGCTTCTAATGTAATGTGTATAAAAGTAGATATGAATCACACATAATCTCTCTTTATTTATGATTATGAGTTTCATAATTTCATTCGAATCTTTTGATTAATTAATTTTATGTTTTATATTCTATTTTGAAATCTTTTGGCCTTCGGATATATTTATGTACTAGCTGTTTGTATGTGAAAATACGATTCCTAAGAAAGAGGCTTGCTATAAGATGAAGTAATTCACCAAAAAAGAAAAAGAAAATATGAAGCAATTACTTATTTATATGTGTAGAATATAAAACTTATCTATTCTTGGTTGGAATAGGCTATCTCCAAAAACTTAAACCACCAAAATTAAATTTTTTTTATAGAAGAGAAGTGATAGCAATCTCCCATTTAACTCACCCCCTTCTTTTAATTAAAATTTATTAGAAAATCCAAAATCATGAATAAAACATATAAAATAAAAAGTGAGACCTATCATGATTTTTAATAAATAATAAAGGTGTGTTCAAATCTTAAAAGAATATATTAAAATATGTCACCAGCATTTCTCTATTCACAATCACATCATAGAGTTGGGCAACTTTTTTTTTTATTGAAATATTACAACAAAAATTCCCCAAATAACACCCTTTCCCAATTATTTCCCCTAACACTGCACCTTTTATTCATCTGTAAATACCCTCCTCCCAAACCTGACTTCTCATCCGTTGTTGTTGTTGTTGTGTTTTTTTCTTCTTTTTTTTTCCTTTTCGACCGAACTGAGAAGTCAGTCGGATCGACTTTCCCAAAAAATAGAATGGCGTGTAATAAAAAAATAAGAATTAAAAAAGTCAAACACTATTTTCTATTAAGAATTGGACAGGTGCAAACTACTGTATGGGCAGCAAGTAAATCATATAGTAACCCAAAAGTAAAGAGATTAGCAGAAGGGTACAAATTTAATTTAACAACTTATCCATGCTAATATAGTAAAATATTTAAGTAATAAAATCAATAAGAATCATTTCTAACGTGAATATGAATGGCCTATCAAAAATTTCTACATACAAACAATCCCAATTAAGAAAAGAAATATGAGCAGTGGTAGTGATGGTGAGGGGAGTCATTCGATGCTTTGCTTGTCTCCCAAGGCATAAATGAATTGTGTCACAAATGGAAGGATACAAGAGGAAGAGATATATGATAAAACATAACCACAAAATTATGTTTCCATGGATGACACAGCAGATCATACTTTGAGTAACACTTCCATGGGAAACACCTGTGTTGAATCATCATGTGACAAACTCTGCAGCAGAGATCACAACTTCAACAGATATATGGAGGAGACTGGCATTATTCTATTGCTTTTTGACATCATATGATCAAGCTCAATAGCAATAAAAAAATGTTAATATAAAAGTGGCATTATTCTGTTGCTTTTTGATGACTAATCCTCTTCTCATCCAACCTATGACGGAACAACTTCGCTATGTGTCTCCTTTCACAGTCCTGGGCATAAAAAGACAAGAAAAAAACCATGAAATGTACATCCATACCACTAAAGCATCAATTATCATAGTGCAAAGAAAACCATCATATCACAACTACCACTATAGCTGTCTGTGCTTAAGTTTCTTTACCTTGAACATGTTCAGATGGAAAGGTTTCTCTGGATTCATCCTTCTCAGCTTCTGATAAGTATATGCGAAACTCAGCTGATCACGAGGTGTAAACCGGTCAACTTCATTGAACCAAAGACAGGAAAACAAATTTGACATCGGGGTGTGTGCTCTAATAATAAAAGAACCTTCAGGTACATCTGTCAGAAAGATATTGCAAGTCATTTCAGTACATTAAATCAGCGAGTATGGAGAATTGACAGATAATAAATCCTTGAGAGAACATACTGCTTGGAAGAAGCTTGTTTGGATCCGATGCATCAAATTTTTCCAGTCCATCAGCACGGTAAAATGCAAATTGTTGATCTATAACCGTATGATTATACTTGTTCAATCTCTTGTTTTGTGCTACTTCTTCCCACACGCAATGCCGATCATAGTGATTGGATATTGCAAATTCATAACCCTTTCGCCACAAAAAGTACTCCAAGATAAGTAAAGGATCAAGCTGCAGCCGTAATTTGCTATCCAACCAAATTGAATACCTGAAATGAAATTTGAAAGATAAACAGGCATAAAATTATTAAACATACAAGAAAAAAGAAATAAGAAAATTATACACAAAACAAATGATAAGTAATTAAATAATCAACTTATAACAAAGAAAATCAATAAGAAACCTGTCTAAAGATTTCAGATACCTATGTACAGAACACTACATAAAAATGCATTTGCAATTCTGTTAATCCCCACTGAAATAAGGACTAAACTGTCCCAAAAACCAAGATTCTATAATTAAGAAATGCACAAAGATTCATTTTCTAAGTTGGATTAGGCTAGAAAGGTCGAGGAATTTAAAGAATCTCTAAAATTTAAGGCAATTTACATACCAAGGCGTCCTGGGATTTTCATAGAAACACCTCTAACTTTTAAACCATTGGAATAGAGTTGCATCCACAAGTATAACAAAGCCTTAACCCGAAATATATTCAAACCAATAAATAATTAATAAAACTGATATAATACTCCACATAAATCTCTTTCATCAATCCACCCCATCAAGGATTCATCATGCAGTAACATTTTACCTTTATGCAAGGTTCTTTAGCATTAGTAAAAACTGACAGTGACATCTATACTACTGTCACTCCTTACTTTCAACTTTACCTTCCTCCTTCCAATACTAATAGTTTGGTCTACATACACAATAAAAGAATCAAATGTAAAAACCACCTAAATCAAAATTTCACCATTTTATCTTAAGTGATACATATCTATCAACATATTTGTCTTGGTATTTAATGCCACTTAGCAGTAACCCTGATTAAAACATCATCCAAATAAACACTGTCAAATTCAAAAGAACAACACATGTTTTATCATATCAGTCTGACCTTGCAAAAGGAAAAAGTCGATGTGGCAATAACTTCGGTATTTTGCCAACTCGCCGCATATCATCAAAGGGTAGATTCTTCACTACCACTAATTTCCAAAAGCCAATGAAACCCATTCTATCAGGCACATGACCTTCTGAAGAAAGTGTCCGTATTGTAATTTCATCAGTAAACATCACAAAGCAGACATTCTTCCTTGACAATCGAGTGACCTGAAAACATGATAACTCAGATCAATACAAATAAAACATGCTTTGTGGCACTACATCAAAAGTCAAATAGTTCACATATAAGAATCTGTGTTTAAGATTTCAATGGTTCCAACAATGCACTTTCAAAACCAAAACATTCAATGCTAATAAAAATACAATTATGAGAAAGTTAAGGAATGATTATATCAATTGGTAAAGCTTAAAATATTACCCTGGAGTGTGCATAAAATCTTTTGTCCCTTTTTCATAGGCTACTTACAAATTTGAAGCAGTATGTGATAGGCCCGTATCATCAAGGAAGGCCTTAAAACTTAAAAGTATACTCTCGTAGGCCTAAACCTAAGGCCCAATTGTAATTGGAAAAGGCGTATGTACGATGGCTGTGTGAGATGGAGGAGTTAGTTATAGAGAGAGAAATGGAAATCTAATATAGTGGGGGATACGGTATCTTTTACATTTGACAGCTGATAGCTAGGGCAGGAGGATGTACTTCCTTGGCTGGGACTGGGAGCACTTTTGCTCTTCTATCTTTTCTGCATTTCCCTTTCTATTTTCAATCAAATACCTTTATTGGATAGAAATTAGCCCTACAGTGTGAGAGTATCTTTTTTTTTTTTGTCTGTGAAGCCAAACATTTAATGCCCAACTCTTGAAGGGAACCTATTTTTCTCCTAATGCATGTTAAGTGTTACAGGGGACTTATTATCTCATTGTTAAAAAATTCATGTGTCTTTGTTGGTCTGACAGGAACCTTAGGAGAACCACACCACAAAACTTAATCATTGAAGTTGGAGAGCTCAAGGCCTTACAAAGCCCACACAGATATACCCTACTTCCAATGTGAGACTCAGGTCCCATACCTTGAAATTGGATCCTAACATCCCACCATCACCATGTACTGCAACCTCAATGCCCATGCAGGTTGGCTGGGCACTAGCCTTTGACTAGTTTTGGGCAAGCATTGCAGTGAACACACTACAAAACTTAATCAAACTACACAAAAATAACAGATAGTTGTCAAATTAGGAGGTTTATCTTTCTGTCTTTTGTGTTTGATCATTTTACAGTTTCTGGCGGTGCTCCCCACGGGGATGATGTCGCTTCTGAAGATGAATCTATTCCCATTGTTGTAATAATTCCTGGCCTGACAAGTGACTCTTCCTCTCAAGTGAGTGTTTTCTATTTAGAGTTTATGTGCTATTTTGTAATACATGTTAATGGAACTTTATTGTGCGTTAATTTGGGTTAGTTTGAGTATTTCAAATTTCTTAACTTCATGATGCTTTTATAATTACGTAACTATCGATGAAACACCTATAAAAGATTAGACGTCATCCATTGAAGTCCTCTTCAAAGCTTTGGCTCGCCATTATTTTTTTGTTACATGCAAGTGTTATGACTCAAAGCTGGGGATTATGAATCTTAAACTAAGGATTTTAGTTGTAAATTGATTTCTCAAGAGCTCAAGCTAAGTGGGAGTTATCCAAGAGCAACATCAGGTTGAAATTTGAGGCATGCTGAGGTGTTAATTCTAAAAGGAAAAATTGTTTCCCTTATGCTAGTTGTCGAAAAAGGGAAAGTGTATCGAACACTAATGTTTTTATTTTCTTTTTCATTCTTCCAACATCAAGTACAATAAATGTTTCCTTGTATCCTTATGAAATGTCCATTAATCTTCAAAATTTTGCTTGTTTTTGTTTAGGACATCCATTTGTACTATAATAACGTCTTTCAGTTTATTTTTTATTTTCTTTTTTTGCTCTCATGTTGATAGTATGTCAAACATCTTGCGTATTATACTGCAAAGCGTGGATGGAAGGTTGTTGTCTTTGGAGGTGTTTCAATCACGGTTAGTTTTTTTGCAAGCTAGAAATATATAGAACAAAGAGTTGATACTTGATACACTTTTAAAACAATATGCTGTTGATATATACATAAACGCTGATCAGAGTCTATATTGTACTTGCCCTGAAGCAGTTAAATTTCTTTGAAGTCATTTGCTGAAGAACAAAGATTGGATATATATACCTAATAGATTTTAGGCTTTGCATTCTACCTATCACTTTCTAAAATCTAAATCTAAATAAGCAAATCAGGTAGAAGAAGTTTGCCAATTTAGATATTAAATGTGTGGGAGGCAGCAGTTAACAAATGTCATTAAAAATCATTTCATCCCTTCTTATTAGAACATTGGGATTGTTTTGCATATCAATACCGATTTCATGTTTTCGTGGAACAGTTTTCTTTTTTTCTTCCTCTTGTAACGCTTTTTCTTGTTTAAACTGTCTCAGTCTAATTTTTCTTACAATGCTGGATGGACTGAGGATGTCCGCACAGTGATTAATTATCTCCATAAAGAGAAATCCAAGGCGCCTCTGTTTGTTGTCGGAACTAGCATTGGAGCTAATATTTTGGTATGTTCAAGCTTGAGTCTTTTGTAATATGCTTCAAAAAGTGATATTGTATACTTATAGTTTTTTTTTATTTTTATTTTGGTGTGTTCTTTTTGGGGGTCAAAAGTTATTACCCAAAAAAACGCTACAATATATTTTTTTGTTGTTGAGATTTTTGTCTTTTCCCTCCAAAAATTTACAATATTATTATTATTAACTTGTTTTTTAGTGAAGATAACATACCCTTTTAATTATTAACTTATTCTCACTTATGCGAGGAGCTTTGTTTCAGCACTGCATTTTTTAATTCAATGATTGTAGGTTAAATATCTTGGTGAGGATGGTGAGAATATTCCTGTTGCCGGAGCTGTTGCTGTTTGCTCTCCTTGGGACCTTCTGGTTAGTATTTTGATTTTAAAGTCGTTTTCTTTTAATTTTGCACTTCAAATGGATTAGGTAATAAGCATAATTGTTATGAAAAATCACCACAATCTATCTGTCATTAGTATTTGTACTCAGTTTATTTGTTTGTGGATTTAATTGAAGAAAATAAATTAATTTTGTATGAAATTGAAAATAATAGAAATCGAACGAAATAATCGAATTTATTTTGAAAATTTGAGTTTGGGATCTATAATTTGCAATGTCTTAAAAATTAGGCCATAGAAGCGGTGAAGGCAACGGTAGAATAAGGCCAAATATCCATCCATAAGTGTTTATTTTTTATCAAAACATAAAAAAATATTAAACAAAAACTAAAAAAAATGTTTTTTCTCGGTTGCCAAATTATCCATCCATTAAAAAAAATTATTGATTTTTTTTGTTAGACTTGCAGTTTTCAATAATTTTTTCTTCATCCATGAAGTCTCTTAGCATGTAAGATATATTTGTTTCGATCTGTTTAATTAAAATTATTTAATATCCTATGTTCGAAATTACCGATGGAGCTTTATTGAATTTTTCACTTCAATGTTCCTGTATATGCTTGAATTGTTCTTCATTTTGCCTGTTGTTAAACCTGGCTAGTAGTTATTTTACCAGTTTATCATTTGTAGATAGGGGACAGATATATACGCCGTGGACGTATGCAGAAACTTTATGATAAAGCGCTTGCATTTGGACTTCAAGATTATGCAAAATTGTATGTCTGCACTTTTACAATTGAATTTAACTATCTTTGTTGATAAGCTCTTATTTAATCTATTAAAATCTTCAAATGCAAACATCGTGTAAAGATAAAGAAGTTTCTCTGTAGGCTTAATTTGATATATTTTTCTCTCTTTTTTTTACCAATATTCATTGCAGACACCAGTCTCACTTTTCTCGCAATGCTAATTGGGAAGGAATATTAAAGGTGGCCTTACTAGTTATAATTTTTGTTACTGTTAATATAGATATGCAAATCATGTTTTTATTCTACATTTTATGATGTTGACCTGTTTTTTATGGTAGTCTATGTTCATCTTTCATTTGATTTACTTTTTTATTGTTTTATTTTCTAATGGTAAAATAGTGCCAATTCTTTGTTGTGCTATTAAGGCAAGATACTTGCCTCTGCTAGTAAGTGAGGAGGATGCAGGAAGGGTGTTAAGTTACTGACCTATGACTAGCAATTGCCGTTGATTTTCATTTTTATTCCTTTCTCCTCTGAATTGTACTATTTTTTCTAGTGGTAATGTTTAAATATTGCAAGTTTAGCGTATGCGATGAAAAGGCCAAACACTTGTTAGCTGTTTGGGTGTTACTTTTCCTTTGCTTAATTCTTCTAATACGTACAAGTGTACAACATTCTTAAATGTTATTGTCATATTTTAGTTTTTATTTTGTGTTTTTAAACTTTTACCAATGACGTATACGTGTCCGTTGTTTTTTTGCTTTGCAGTCATTTTCTGTTCGCGATTTTGATGACCATGCCACCCGGGTTGTTGGGAAGTATGAGGTACTTGTGTATGAGTATGAACTAAGTTTTGTAATCTTTTATTTTATTGTTTTTATCTCTTTTTGTACCTCCTTATTGGTTAATCAAAATCAAACTTGTTTCCTAGAGTGTGGATACGTACTATAGACGCTGCAGCAGTTCTATTTATGTGAAATCGGTGGCTGTTCCGCTTCTCTGTATCAGTGCTCTGGATGATCCAATTTGTACAACGGAAGCCATTCCCTGGGATGAATGCAAGTACGCTGCTTTATTGTTTTATTGGTTCTAATTAATATGCTTTCTCTTGTATTACTTTAGCACCACTTTTAATGTAGTAATTCTCTTGACACATAGGGCAAATAAAAATATTGTGGTGGCTACTGTAAAGCATGGAGGACATCTGGCCTTTTTTGAAGGGATAACTGCATCTCAACTTTGGTACTTAGCGTCATTTTCTACATCTATCCCTTTAGTATTTTTATTTTTATTTTACATCTAACGATCTTTTAGCATTTTTTGGGGGTATTTATTGCAACATTCTAATAGTAATTTCATAATATTCATTCAAGTTGTACTAGTATTCACAAAGTGACCTAAATTCCAATGAGCAATTTTATAACCTCTTGTAGGTGGGTTAGAGCTGTAAATGAATTCCTTGGTGTGCTACACAGTGGCAATTATATGCATAAACAGAAGAAGGTAAAAATTGGTATCATATTTGTGTTTACTTAAAGATATAAGCAGAGCATTTGTGTTGGCTGAATTCTGTTTTCTTTGTTAACTGCGATGTAGAATTCTAAATCAAGCATAGCATTGGACTCGTCAATTGATCATGGCCCTTATGTTAATGTTACTGAAGATGGAACTGTGGCTGCATTGAACAATGGCCCCACCACAGACATGTAATCCAGGATCTGCGTGATGAACATGACAGGGTTTCACTAGAAAAAAGTGTTCATGAAAAAGAACTTGTGATTGTGACTAACTAATGCTAATTGTGGTGAATCCCTCTGGCAGTGGACCAACAGTTGGTTCTATAGATGTAGTGCCTCATAAATCTGTTAAGAAGTAGTAACACGTTGACGTTATATAAAAAAGTACATTATTTAAATTAAAAATATATTATTTTATTACTTAATTAATGTGTTAGTTGTAAATATAATTTCTTTTAACTATGTTTGTGGTAGAAAACTGAAGTAATATGTATAAAATTCTAAATTAAAAATTTATAATTTATGTGTGAATTATTTGTCTTATTAATATTTTAAAAAACTTATCTTTTAGCATCTTATAATGAATAAATAAATTAAAATGTAAATAAAAATATTTAATACTTACATAATTTGTAATGTCTTTGTTACTTTAAGTTTTTTATAAATAAAATCACAAGTTAATAAAATTGATTGTTTTTCATTGCATAGTATTTTTTTTAAAAGTTATAATTTAAAGTAACAAATGTGATTCAAGAGAGAAGATAAAAGGAGCATGAAAATGTTTTAACTCATCTATTAATAACTCCTTTCAAGGTTGATGTAATTTTTTCTCTCTCATACAACGTATACAATAGAAGAAAGGAGTTTGGGGTTAATTTTATTACTAACAATTATTCTACGCATAGAGCAAGAGAGATTAATCACTTCACCTTTACCTTGATGAGCGCTAGAAGATGAACTTGAATCTCATATTCTCTCACTAGTTTTGGTTCTCAAAAAATGAATCAAGACTCCTTTTTAAAACTTAACCCCACTAGACCTATCAATTAAATTAATCAACTTTAGTTACTAACTTCTTCCCTCAAAATAATTAAACAAATAAATCTTTTAAATACAAAATTTTATAATACATACATATTTATATTAAAATAGTTATTAAAATCAACTCAATTAATTATAACGAAATTCAATGATAGTAATTAATAATTTATGCATACATATATATTAAAATACCATAAAACAAATATTTCTCCAATAAATATTGTATAAAACAATTTTTGCAAACATTCATTATTTAATTAAAAACACTCACAGTAGTTAAAAGTTTCTAAAATATTTTATAAATTTCTTTGATTAATTAAAATATCTTTTTAATAATAGAAAACTTGGGATATTACACTTGTCTTCGTATTTTTTTTTTAAATTTCGAAACCTCTGTTAGGTTTTCATTTTCAATCTCTTGTACATAAATAAAACACCTAAAACTCAATTTTAAATAAAAAGTATTATGTTTATCTAATTTACTATTATCCTTCTCACATGTTATCTCATGTATGAAAAATTAAAAGCAGTATAAAAGAGGAAGAAAAAGTAATACATTATATTTCTGATATAGATTATAGTGTGAAACGAAAATTAAACAATTGACGGTGAAAGACTAGGAATTGATGGAGATGTAATAGTAGATAAAATTACAAAAAAAAATTAACAGTAGAAAAAAATAAAATACTTTTAATTTTGTCGATGATTGCAATGATATAGGAGTTAAATAATAGAAGGATAAGAGGTGAATTGAATATAATGCATAAAGAAGATGTTATATAAAAGATAAAGAGGAAATATAATAAAAGATAGAAGTGTAGAACCAATATAAGAGTAAGAGGTGGATTGAATATAATGAATAAAAAATGTAATGTAAAAGATATAAAAGATAAAGAGGAAATATAATAAAAGATAGAAGTGTAGCAACAATATAAGAGTAAGAGGTGGATTGAATATAATGCATAAAAAATGTAATGTAAACGATAAAAAAAAATGTAATAGAAGATGAAAATGTACAAAAAAATAAAACACAAATGAATATGTTGATGTCACAACACGTGAAATTGATTTTATAGTAACGTGTAAGTGTAATAGTGTTAAATTCAACTTTTATATTATAAATTCACATATATCATTCCATTTATATTACATTGTAGATCAATATTAGATCTACGATTTTATGGTGTACTTTTCACACTATATCATTAGTATCATCTTCCTTCTTCACACAACCAACAAAGAGCCTCTAACTTTCATACATTACTGTTAAAGACATTTAGTGGCATAATGACACCATTTTTTATACGGTTTATAAGCAAGTTCTTCCTATTGAGTTGGGTCATATATCTATGCAAGCACCTGCTGAAGGGATGATAGAGGAACCATTGGTGGAAAGTGGGAGGCCCAAACGCACCATCAAGAGGCCCACTAAATTGAGTGGCTTTGTTTGCTATAAATAAATCTTAATATACAAATAATATTGAATGGGGATACTCTTTTGTTTTTACTAGTATTATACTGTTAGTGCAAGGTGGTTGGACAATCTTATGTATTGAGTCCATATAAATTTTGTAGTGGAATTGAAAAAGAGGTGAACAGAAATCATAAAAGAATTATTCTTTCTTGCTTCCTTCTTCCTTCGTCTTTTTTATTTTTTGTTAAGAGCAAACAACCGCTCGAAAGGTGCTTTTACTATCTCTATGGTAACAATTTTACTCCCTTTTCTTTTATACTTTTTCTTTTTCCTTCTTCTTCCATTCTTTTGTGATTGTAGATTCGTGTTGACAATGCATTTTGTGACACAATGGATTTAGACCTACCACGATGCAATAAAGATGTGCAAGTATCCTATGATGCAACAAAGGTTGTACAAGCATGACATTGTCAGAATCAGAAGTACACAAATGCATTAATGTTAATCATTTGATAAGTATACCAATTGTCTTAAGTAATAAAATAAACTAAAATTTAAGTATCCAATTCACAAATACTTATATAACAACTAATTAATTTTATTTAATACTGATTATGAAAAAGATAAAGATAAAGTTACTATTTTAACATATTGAATAGTGTTTTATAATTTATTATTTTAACATATTTAATTTACATTTAATTAAATATTTGATTTTATATTTATTATTAAAATGTATAATAATATACTAATATGAAGTTAGTTCAATTGTTCTAAAATTAATTTTCTTAAATAAAATTTTAAATTTAAGTTTTGTATATAGAAAATATGTGGTTGATTCAACTAAAAGTAGCTAGTTAGGTTTTCAAATAAGAATCAGTCATGTCTATAGTAAATATTTTGTATTGATAATATAGTTAAAAAAATATTGTTTAATTAAAAAGTAAGCAATAAATTTGAATATATTCATAAATAATTATGTATACATTAAAATTAATATATACTATACATAAATTTTAAACCAATACACAACATTCATGTAACAAATATTTTAATTACTGATAAACTTGCGCCCAAAAGCCAAGGGACGGTTCAATTCCGAATTTTTAATTTCTATCTTGAAAAACAATCAAGTTAGCTTGAATTTTGCTGCGTGAGGGACAGTGAGACTGAAGCAGTGTGCCAACTTGCAGTAAATAAATCGGGATGGTATGGTACAATACTAACAAGAGTTAAAAGGAGCAATTCATATTACAATATATATTTTTTATTAAAATATTAGCGGGTTGATTTTAACCATTCGATTTTATTTTCATATATCTAACGGTGTTGATATCTCGTGAACAACTTGAGTAGAAGGTCAACTTAGATTTCGCCTATAATATTACCTAACAAAGTATTACTCGTATCAAGTATCAACTATCAACTATTGATGAGTTGATTTATTATTTATTATTTTTAGAAGTGTTAAAAAAATAATTAGATTAATATACACAACTTATTTTTGAATGCGTTGACAAGTCGTTTTAAGCGGCTTCATTAATCATTATTCTGGCAGTGGGCGATTCCCATTCCCATTTTCAGTGAAAAGGCTTGGATGCGGACGCGCCTTGTTGGAACTACTTATATATAGAAGGACGAATGAAGGTACGAGGTCACGTGGAAGTTCTCAAGAGACCCCTCGTTCATTCCACGCGCCACTCTTCTTCACACCCAATCGGCGAAATTCAATTCAATAGCGTTCCATGGAATTGGGTTCGGATTTGGATTGGTCCTCTTCCTCCGCCGCGTACTCCCTCCTCCTCCGCGCCCTCTCCCTCATTCCGACCTCGCACTACCTCCTCGCCGCCTCCCTCCTTCTCCTCACCTTCCTCTACCGCTTCCTCGAGCTCCATATTCTCCAAGACCTCTTCTCCTTCTCCTCCGGTTCCCCCGTCACTTTGACCTACAACTCCGGCTCCCGCTTCTACGACGCCGTCGTTTCCAAATGCAAGCTTCTCCACGGCTCCTACCGCGCCACGCCCTGGCTCTCCAGTCCGCATCTTCAGACCGTCTTCCTCAACTTCTTCGGGAGACCTCCGTTTTTCAAATATAGAAGGTCGTTTACGATTCTCGATTCCGTTCTTGCCGATTTCTATTCCGAATGTGATGCGTGTGATTGCTTTGTTTGATTCGTCTAACCTCTGCGCGTTTGTTCTCTTTCAGACAACTGTTTACCACTCCGGATGGTGGAACCATTGCTTTGGACTGGCTAATGAGTTCTGATGGTATTCTATATGAAATGTTCAAATTCTCTGTTTCTGCATACTTTAATTTTAGCCTTAAATAATTCTTTTAGTCTGTGGATGTTTTCGCTTCGTTTCTCTTTATTTTTATTTTTCTGTTTTGATCCTGGTTTTTTTTTTCCAACGGAAACGGATATAATGTTTCATAAATTAAATATTCTACCAACTAGCACGTTGAACTAGTCAAGTGTATTTCTCTGCTTAACCGGTGGTCTTGAGTCCTGAATATGTAGCGGTGTTAAATACTAGAAGGGAAAACTTTGCTGCACATAGTGGTTCTAGTTGGCTTAAACAAAATTGATTCTGGTAGAAAATACATGTAGTCTATACAAAATACATTAAATATTCTAATATGAAAGAAACCTGTGTAAGAATGTTACAATTTATAGGGAGTAAGACAGTAATATTGGAGAGTAGGATGGATCAAAAAAACAGGGAAGTTTTTTTTGTTAAGAGGATCAAAGTGAATAATCATATACTGATAAGTTGTTTAAGCCTTAATTTTATAATGTTTATCAAATTAGAAACCTCTTGCCTAATGACCAATACATTCCATAGTTGATCCTTTTGTGTCTAATCATGGTACAGTTTCTGGTGGTACTATCCATATGGATGATGTTATTTCTAAAGACGATTCCACTCCCATTGTTGTAGTAATTCCTGGTCTGACAAGTGACTCTTCATCCGCTGTAAGTTGTTATATTATGTTTCTGTTTATGTCTATGCCTAATGTTGTTATTTTCCTTACTATACAACTTATTGGGGATTTGTAAAAAACAAACAAACAGATATATGTAAAAAATAAAAAACACATTTATCCCCTCCCTGCGGGGGGATACTTGACTGCTAGAGGTTAATAATTTAGAGAGCAATTTAAGTACACTTTTTTTTTTTTTGTGTTGTTTTGTACGATTTCATTCATCTAACCATACATCAAAATTGTTTGCTACTTTGGAATACATGTTAATCAGATTTAACTTTGCCATTGATTTGGTTTTTGGTTGAGGTTCTTCAGTTTTCTCAAATTCAGAATATACATTTCACCTTTATAAAGTGGAGTTTCATTTATATTATATTGGCGTCTTACAGTGTATTTCCCCCTTTCTTGGTAGTATCTCAAACATCTCGCATATCATACAGCGAAGTGTGGATGGAAAGTTGTTGTCAGTAATCACCGAGGACTTGGAGGTGTTTCAATCACGGTTAGTTTTTCTGCAAGCTGGAAATATATAGATTTACAAGTTTGAATAACTTGGATACTATTGCTATACGTGAAGGCTATCGGCATCTATATATTTTATTACCAATAAGCATTTAAACCAATTTAAGTTAAAGTTAATTGGTGAAGACTTGGATTGGTTATGTAGTTACTTAGTTAATATGTTGGTTAAGTACAGGGCGTGTGCAAAATATCCCGACTGATATGAACCAATCCAAAATGGATTTGATCTGAATTATAAAATTCAATCTGTTTTGAAAAAAAATTGAACTGATTCACTTTGTAATAATAGTTTGGTTAACCGATGTACTTTATAAAATCAATTGGTTTGACTTGGATTTTTCAAAATCTCATCCATGATCAACATTAGTTAAGTAAGCTTAGTAGGTAGGTGAAGCTTGCTGATCTATTTTGTGTGTGAAAAAAAAAAGCAGTTCTTAAAGTAGCCATTGGCCAATAACCATAGAGTTTACGCATCATCTGTATGGTTTCAGAAATGCTTATGTTTTCATTTCTTGTTTTCACTAATAATAATTACGACTTCACAAAATGGTGAAAACACCAATTTCCTTTTAAACAGGAAATAAGATGACCTTTTGTAACTACAGGTGAGAAATGGAAATGAAAATAGTAAACGTTTCCTTAAACCAAACTATCTTTGGAATATTTTCTCATTCCTTTTTGTCAGAATATTAGGATTATTGTGCATCTCAATAGTCAACACTCTGATCATGTCGAGGTGTAATAGTTTTCTTGTTTTCTTCCTCTAGTAATGCAATTTCTCATTAAAATCATTTCAGTCTGATTGTTTCTACAATGCTGGATGGACTGTGGATGTCCGCACAGTGGTTAATTATCTACACAAAGAGAACCCCAGGGCACCTTTATTTGTTGTTGGAACTAGCATTGGAGCTAATATTCTGGTAAATTCACTGTTTGTTTAAACTTTAAAAAGTGGGTTTGTTATATATATATATATATATGTGTGTGTGTGTGTGATGACTGTTATATATCTAGTACACTTTCCAGCAAACTATATAATTGATTAAAATTAGTTGGAAACTACAAAATTAGGAAAGTCATTAAAATAAGAGGTGAGATCTATACAAATTTATGACTTATAACAAATATCTGTCAATAGTAGAAAGTGTTTTTAAAAGAGCGAGAGTGAAATTATATTGCTAGCATTTCTCTCTGTATATGTATATACACACTGTTTCACTTGTAGATATTAATGTTTCTCCATGTTTAAATCTAATTTTATGTAATTTTTAGTGAGACTTAAATATTAAAATTTACTGTAGTTCATGGTTGACTCGTTTGCTTTAGTCTATTTGCTTCAACAATTTTGAATTCTGCTATTGTAATGACTTTAGGGAACCCAAGCGCATCAATTTCTAAGATGGACTACACAATCGGCTAGAGAAGCCCTGAAAAGTTTAGAAAATATAAAAGAAAAAAAATGAAGGAAAACATCATGGTGGTTCCCTAACTGCATATTCTGACAAATTGTAACTCCTGTCCTGTGTCATATATTTTTTTTGTAATACATGCATTGTGACCATTGGTACATAGTCTGTCTGCTTTTCAAACTACAGCTAAACTAGTAACTGTAATTTTTTTAACTTATTCTCACATATGTAACGAGCTAGGTTTCCTCACTGCACTGATTTGTAAGATTGTTTTCAGATAAAATATCTTGGTGAGGAAGGTGAGAATATTCCTGTAGCTGGAGCGGTAGCTGTTTGCTCTCCATGGGACCTTCTGGTTAGTATTTTGGTTTGTAAATTCAAGTTTGGGATCTACTGTGGGCAATGTTTTAAAATCCAGGTTGGTCCTTGAACCAACAAAAGCATTGGTTAGTGCAACCATGGTTGAACCAATAGCAATTAAATATATTTTTTAATATTATTATTATTATTATTATTATTATCTATTATATTAAATAATAAACTAACGTAAAATCTAAAGAAGTCCCATTAATTAAAATTTAGATTAACTTGATCATATTACATATCTTACAAGGTAAAAGATCTATTTGGACAAATTTCTCCGTAAGCTCTTATAGGATTGAAAATAAGAAGGAAAAATTAAATAAATTTTTCCATAAACTAAAATTAACTTGTGCATAAGTTAAAAATAAGAATTTGGAAAAACTAATATGAGAAAGTTTATACAAGTTAATTTATATAAAGTAATTTTAGTTTATGAATAAATTTATTTCATTTTTCTTTCATATTTTTCTCTCTTAGAAGTAATTATAGAGAAGTTTACCTGACCAGATTCAAAAAGGCTAAACAATGTCCATCCATGTGTCCTTAAACATGTGAGTTTATTTGTTTTGTAAAGATACTTATGTTTTGTTTTGTTTTTTTTTCTCTTTAAAAGATGGTTAGTTCAAGCCAATTTTTATAGGTTTTGAATCGGTTCTCAACTGGTTTTTTAATTTATCATTTGTGTTTTGGGTTGTCTAGACCACTAACACCAGTTATCTAAGGGAAATGTTATATACACCTCCCATTTCTAATAGATATGCCCCCTTCTCAAATTTTGTTTTAAAAATTTCCTTAAAAACCCTTTTAATTTATTTCCTTTTTAAAATAACTTTTATTTCCAAAACTATTTTCTTTGTTCATCCCGTTTCCTTCACTCATTTTCTTTCACTACTCTATCCCTTTCCAATCCCTCTGTGTACACTTCCCTTTTATTTCTTGATTTTCTCTTCAGAAATCAAGATACCACTGACTCATCTATATTATATTTAAAGCCTAATTTTTGCACTCTTAATTTTAACATTTTTTAAACCCTAATTTTTCACACTTATCTTTAATATTGCATACATTGGATACAAGATTGTAAATTTTATGAAGACGTTTTCAAAGATATGACTAATTGATTTTACAATGAATTACGGATTAGAAACAATATATATTTTTTTATCATTACCGTTTTAAAATTGTGCCTTTTGGTTCTCAAAATATACTTCGGAAAACACTTTATGGAAGTATATTTTGGGTCCATTTGTTTAAACATAAAAGAAAGTGTTTCTAAACAAATCTTTTTTATTTAATAAGCAAATAGGGGATGCTTCCAAAAAAACAGAAAATTGTTTATTTTAAAAAAAAAGTTTCGACAAACATATCAAAAATAAAAAAGTGCTTATTTTATTTTAAAAAAAGCTTTTATTATATTTTTTTTAAACAAATAGACCTTTTTTCTCTTTTGGAAAAATATATTTTACTCTTTGATTTTGGGATGCTAAAACATTTTCTGAAAGTATTTTCAAGAAAAAAAGTACTTTTCAGAAGTATTTTTCTCTTTCAAGAAGTATTTTTTGAAAGTGTATTTTTTTTCCTTTTGAAAAGTACTTTTAGAAAGTATGTTAGGAAGAATATATTTCCTAGAGGAGAAAAAATATACTTCTAGAAAGTACTTTTTAGAAGCAAAAAAAAAATTCTTCTGGAAAATATTTTTTGGAAGAGTAAATTTTTCCAGAGATAGTACTTTTGGGAGGTGTATTTTTTTGTCTTCCAAAAAAGTATTTTCTAGAAGTATATATTTTTTTCCTTAAATTTTTTTAAAAAAAGGGTATCTAGGAAATAAACAAATAAAAAGGGCAAGGGAGGTGTATTATTAATTAATGAAGGTGTATTTAACAAAAGCCGATGATCTAACTAGTTCAGCATTTTTGTTTTTGGACATATTGGCCGATCCAGTTTGGTTTTAAACATCCACGGCTTCTAGGCTTTTAGCATACAAGGTGTATATGCTTTTGGTTCAAAATTGATTTTGAATTGTTCTTCATTTTGCCTGTTATTTACCTTTATTGGAGGTTTTGTTGTCACCTGTTTGTTGTTTGCAGATAGGAGATCGATTTATAACACGTAGGCGTGTGCAGAAGTTTTATGATAAAGCACTTGCAATTGGACTTCAAGGTTATGCAAAATTGTATGTCTTTATCTTTCCAGTTGGGTTTAAATATCTTGTTGATAAGATCTTGATTTTTCATCTATTAAAATCCTAACATGCAAGCAGATGTGCAAATATAAGAAGTTTCTCTAGTTTGTAATGTGACTTAATTTGATATTATTATCAATGTTCATTGCAGGCACCAGCCTCATTTTTCTCGCCTTGCTAATTGGGAAGGGATAGAAAAGGTGCCCTTACTCTATATAATTCATATTTACTACTACTACTACTAATAAGTGCGAAAACCAGGGCCTGTGGTTATTTAAATTTTATGTGCCACATTATATTTTTTTACTTTAAGTTCTTAAATTTTAATAATCACTTGTGCATGTTCAATATTGTGCTTTGCAGTCAGTTTCCATTCGAGATTTTGATAATCATGCCACCCGCATTGTTGGGAAGTATGAGGTATTTACGTATCACCTAAGATTTGTAATCTTCTATTTCTCGTCTTATCGTTTGTTTTGTCTCATGTCAGTTAATTAAATCGTTGTGTTTCCTTAGACTGTGGATACGTACTATAGACGCTGCAGCAGTTCTATTTATGTGCAATCTGTTTCGATTCCACTTCTCTGTATTAGTGCTCTGGATGATCCAGTTTGTACCAGGGAAGCCATTCCCTGGGATGAATGCAGGTATTCTTCGTTATTGTTTTCCTTGGTTTTAATTAATTTGATTTCTTTTGCATTACTTCGGCATCAATTTAATGTTCTACTATTTTGATAGGGCAAACAAAAATGTTGTCTTGGCTACTGTAAAGCATGGAGGACATCTGGCATTCTTTGAGGGGATAACTGCATCTGGCCTGTGGTACTATAGTCATTTTTATACATTTGACTCTTCAGCATTTTCTTACATGATCTTGCCAATTTATGCAGTTTGCTGTCCTTATTTTATTGCATACTCTTATATTATCAATATCATTCCTCGGTATGATTGGTTAAAGTTACAATAACGACATCAACTGAATTCTAAATATAAAGAAAATGAAGAGTTTTATTCACGACATCAACTGAATTCTAATTATAAAGAAAATGAAGAGCAATTTTCCTCCCTCTCGCAGGTGGGTAAGAGCCGTTAATGAATTCCTTGATGAGCTACACTCTAGCCATTTCATGCATGTACAGAAGAAGGTAATGATATGCCACTGTAATTACTTATTTTGGCAATGGAATGTTTATTCATTCTCTGGTTACGTACTATTTCAAATGTCATAAACGTTTTGGTACGCATTAAAAGATGTTATTTAGGATTGTGGTAGACCAAATAATTTATACTTGGAGCACTTAGCAGAGTATTTCTGATGGTGGCTGAAACTGCTGTCTTTTCTGTTGCAGATCTCTAAACCAAGTACACCATTGGACTCGTCAATTGATCAGGGCCCTTATGTTAATGTTACCGAAGATGGAATGGTGGCTGCATTGAACAATGAGCCAAAATCTGACAATGTGGAAGAAATACAGGATACACATCGTGACAGTCTCAAGAGGATTCCAGTAGAAGTGGATAAACCAGACGAGGATGAGACTGATGCACAGAGTGTCGATTCGTCTGGCATTCCTCAAACAGCGAGTGCCCACGATGCAGCAGTGCATATAATAACACCTTTCAAGAAATACCTAAGCCAGTTATCTCGACAAAATCGATGGTCCACCTGGTTGCTTGTTTATATTGCTATCACCACAAGTTGGCCAGTGGTTGGCTCGGCTCTATATATTTTGTTTGGGAAAAAGAAAAGGAATGTCTTACCAGATGGTTTGGTCAGAAGATAATTTTTTGATTGCTAATATAATAATATTATTGATGTATTTGCCTGTGTAGAGATGTATAATAATGTACTTACTCGTCCTACTATTCTTTTGCCCCGCAATCGGGGGATTATGCATTTCTAGCTTATGCAGAAATTAATTTCTACTTACAGTTTTTTTTTTCCTTAAACCACTGGTTGCTAGTCAGTTCTCACCTTGTCCCGCAACAAACGGAAATGCCTATACACAATTTTGAGATCACGAGGGAAAGTGGTTAATTGGCTTGCAACGGAACTTTGGTTCCTCTAACACTCATGGCATATTATGGGGATTGCTCTCAGATCTTCAAGTATCTTGGGACAGAGGTATGAGCAACTTTTGGGTTGAATGAATGAATCTGACTCGCTGGTAGGAGTGCAACTGGTCTTGCAAGGATGCAATCAAAATCACCCTTTTTGGAGTATGGTGGAATTAATCAGGATGACCTTGCCAAGTCAGATTGTAACCTGTTCTGGGCCTTTACCCTCTTCGTCATATAAAAAAAAACGTACATGAGCGTATATAAAGATGGAAACGCCATATTTCAAATTTACTTGAGTCAATATTAAGAATCTAATTCAATTTTAAATAATTGACTTGTAAGATAAGAGATATTTTTTCACTTATATACTCTCATGCGAGACTTACAATTTTTTTCAATACGCTTCTTTATGTACAGTATTATTGGATTTGATACGTGGATAAATGATATAAATGATGAATGATTAATTTTAATGATTTAGAATAAGTGAGACTTGGATTCTTTTAGAGTGAATCTAAATAATTAGAACGCCATCTTAGAAAAATGAATTAAGAGTCTAACTCAATCTTATAAAATTATCTTGTAAGATGAGGATTGAGTTTGGTACGTGTATCAATGATGAGTAGTCTTTTTAGAGTGAATTTATATAGCTTTGATACTGTCTTAGAATAGTGAGTTAAGGGTTTAATTTAAACTTACAAACTGATTTGTAAGGCGAGAATTGTTTTCCAAAATCTTAAGCCTAAAATTTGTAGGACTAAATATTTTTTAGTGATCTGATAACGAGGGGCTTGATAAGTCCACAAACAATTGATAATCATTAGAGCATGTTCTAATACCACCTTAAGAAAGTGGGTTAAGAACCTAACTCAATTCTACAAAATTTAATAACTTAATGTGAGGGTTACTCCTACTTATATATTTTTTAATTATTTTATTTATAATTGATGTGAGACTTAAGTTTTTTCGAACTTTTTATATAGGTTTAAGAGTATTTGAATAAACTTTTTCATAATACTTTTTAGGGGAAAAATACAAAGAAAAAATAGTTTAATTATGAATTTTTCGTTGTTAAAATTAATTTATACATAACTTAATTTCTAAAAAAAATTTATATTAATTTTTAATTTGTTAATGTGTATAAATAAACTTTAATTTATGGAAAAACTTATCTTATTCTTTTCTCCTAAGTTTTCACTTAAAAATATTATTTTGAAAAATTTATTCGATTAGACCCAAGTGTTGAGGCCATTGATGGTTTAAGTGTATGCCCCATTGAGAGACAAATAATCACAACATGTATGTTCTCGACGATTTATTTTTTACTTGTACAATGATGAAGATTGATAGAGTTCTCATGCATTTAGCCTATACTACTAGGCTAACAAAACCAATGTGTAGTTAATTTATTATCAATGTAGTGTGATACCATAGACTATAATCAATGTATAGTTAATTTAATTTGATCAGATATGAAGTTTCTATTAGCTTGAGGAGAAAATTGATTGCACTTTAGTCGTAACGAAAGTTAAAAGGTGACAATTAATTTTTCTTATGGGATGATTCTTTTTCTTGGGGATGCATTTAGTAGTTATGAGGCCAATTAATTTTTAAGCATCGCTTTCTCTTTTTTAAATTTCTTCCAAAAAAGGGTAACTTAATTCGTTATAAAAAAAAAAATATCCCTTGAATATAAAGGAAAAATCTAGTGATACCGATCAACAAAGAAGAACAACAAATAGATTAAGGGAAAGAACAAGCTTTTCTAGGATTTTAGTCTCCAAGCATTTAATATCGTATGCAACACTAGGATTTGAAGTGAATCACATAATAAACTTTTATAGGTAGATTATTCATTAAAAAAAAAATACGTGATCTCAATTAGGTTTCGATACATTGGGTGAAAAAATTTCAAAATTGACCCCAATCTTTCTAATTCCCATTAAAAACTATCTACTACATCTAATTTGGACCTCACTTTGGTTGGTTTCGGATGGGTAATTTTTTTTTGATCAAGCTACTTCTAAGTAATAATAAAATCTTATGAAAGAATAGGTGTTTCTTAAGGAAAATCAAATCATAAATTAAATTAGTGTTACATTATTTAGTTAGCCACTTAACCTTATTTAAGGTTAAGTTTGCTCTTATATATAGAAAGTACCTATAATCTGATGGGTTAGTGTATGGTTAAAAATGTCATGCTTAAATGTTATAAAGGAATGTGTTTGGAAATCCTATTCTAATTAATAGTATGAATAAAATAATATATACAAGTCAAGGATAATTTTTATTTTATAAATTAATTTTGTAAAGTTGATTTGATTTTGATAAATGTATTTTTGTCTTTTTAATTCTAATCATTATACAGTTACTCCTCTATTAATGCTTTCAAATAGATTGATTTACTTTGACCTTTCTACTATAGTATAGATCTTTGATACTATTTTGTAAATAGACGACGAACTAGCTTTTCTTCTCAGGCCACCTGAAATATATTTCATGTAGAAATGTAGTCAGATTTTGAGAATAACCTTTCAAATAGATTGTACAAAACTTGAATTTTTTAATGTGAGAATTGAAAGGGAGAATAATGAAAAGTACATGTTGTTTAAGAAAGTGTTCTGAAATGTTTAAACATATATTATTGCAATGTCCAAGATAACGAGAGTAACTCCAATAGCATCTTCCTCGCTAATGATAATACATACATAGGAAGTCATGATTGCTATTTAGAGAGTGTCAAAGATGCCAAGGGTTGGAGTGCAAGAATCGTAATACCTGGAAGATCCCCATATGTATTACAGTACTGTTCATAATTACACCCACGACCCTCATCAAATTAACCATTCATATTATAATATTTGGAGAGAAGACAACAGCTGTAGAAGCCAAACGTTTGCATCTTAGGATGCAGACAACAAACATCTGGATGCTGGTGTCTCAAATAAAATAAAGATATTCCCATACTCAAAAAACTACATACCCATGATTTCACGGATCGTGTCAATGTGAATGTGAGCGTCACAAGATTACACTTACTTTTTTTTTTTGTGTGTGCTTCATGTTATTTTTATTATATTTTACTTTCAGTAACATTTAAATATAGGTTTCAAAAACTACATATGGGAAGTGAGAAAAATATAATTTTAGAAATGAAAAAGGTAATAAGTAGCTTTGCAATAACATGTGATGAAGACAACACGTGCTACGGATCCATTGATGCATGAACACGTATATTGGTAGATATCTCCAAAGTATATATGATGATTCGAGTTATATTAGGAGTCGTAAATTATTGGTATAATGCAATGGGAAAGAAGTTAGTAGCATTTTGTGTTGATTGATGAGTAGTGGAGTGATGAGTTACTTACTCCACTGCTCTTTCCCCATCCATCAAACTGACACGATTGGTATTCAGAAGCAGAACCGACCACAGGTCTTGAACCCCCACCACTACTTCCTTCACCTTTTCATCTTGGCACGCAAACACCCTATGCTCACGCAAAGGGAAAAAGAAAACATATATTTCTTTCTTCAACCCTCACGTGGGGTTGTCTGACAAACCCCATTTTTTTTCCACTAACCCGATTGAGAATGCCTCAAGTACACACACCCATCCTTTCTCTTTAGTCCACTTCATGCTATCTACTACTATTACATTTACACACTTACCCTTTTGCTTTTATTTTTATTTTTCTGTTCCTTCTCATTCATTTTCTCACGCAAAAGGAGGAAAATAATTGTAAAAAAAAATGAAAATGATTTTGGGGCTTAGTTTTTGTCTTTGACATGGGGTGGCAGAGGGGCCTCACGTGGGTTTATCTGACACCAAAGCATGTTTTTCTACCTTACCACTTTTCCTTCCTCGTTTTACCTTTCCTTTCATCAAGTTGAGACAAAGAGGTTTCTTGCATTTCGGTTTTGGTCTTCTTTGTTACTGCTATATATATATATATAATATTTCTTCTTTTTAATTTATTTGTTGTAGATTTATATGCAGCTAGAAGGAGGTTTCTTTATATTATATTAGATAGATGCTTTCTTTTTCTTCAGTTCTTTGGATAACATTATACTTAGTGCATCCAAGAAACTGCCATATGTCAGCCTCAAATTGCACGTTCATTGTGTGTGTCCTGTTTGGAGCATATTAATAGTAACTTATGTGTCCTCCATTAACAAGACAATCAAGAATTAAGAACTTTCCCATGTTTGATGTGACCTTTAAAGGATCCAGCACTGCTACCTATGACTATTTCAATCAACAATACCAACAACATATTATTAACTCCTCTTCCTTTGTGTATGGCAAATTATTATTTTTTGTTTGGAAAGGGATTGATAGGCACCAGATTATTTCATAGATTCTTCATAGAACTATCTACAAATTCATTTTTAAATTAATTTAATTAGTCATTTATAATTAATTATTATTTTAACTTATAATCGTATTCTTGCTCAAGCTAAATGATTATGTATACGTACTTATTAATGAATTACATTTGGCGAATAATTTATTAATTATCCTTTATTCGCTGATTCAAAAATACTCGATTATATATAAATGATTGAGTAATTAAACAAATTTGAAAGTTAATTAACTATACATTATATATAACGAGTCTGTACAAATTTACTTTGTACAAATAGCAAAGTTTTTATAAATGGTAGAATACAAACCTAATCTAGTGACTAATTATGGTCATATGATAATGAAAAGTGATACATAAGACATAAAAAGTCAATACTAACACTTAATGATTATGTGTGAATTTTTAATATAAAATTATTTTAAAAATAAAAAGTAATACAAATCTCATATAATCATTAGTGCAAGAGAAGTGTGATGGATATAGCACATGCTATATTGTCGTCAATGGAATTCTATGTGCTACAAAAGTTAGATATGGCACAAAAAGTTGAAATATATTGCCTACCTTGATCAAGTTCCTAATAAATGTTCTCAATGGGAGATGCTTTGTGGTTTAAAGTAAAGATTTTCTCACATTCATCCCATATTTTACTTCCAAAAGGAGAATTAAAAAATGAAGTTGAATAAGCAAAAAAAATATAATCTATCACACGGGTAAAGTGGTGTCACTTTTTGTTAGCATCCATTTGTCTTAGCATATTATGACGAGAAAGTGTCAAAAGGTTTCCTTGCAGAAGATCCCGAAGTACTCAAGGAATATATGCTAAGAAAGCCAAATCCTTGCAAGTCGCTCTAAATTGTGCCAATTAGAAACCATGTTGAGAAGACTAGGATCCAAATTTCTTTGTTTCCATCAAAGGCAATATAAATAAAGTCTCAAATTAAATGTGCCTCATAATAACTAACGAGTTACTTTAAATGCATGTCATTGACTAACGTATTTAATTATGACCAAAATTCCAATTGCTAGGATATAGCGTGTACTTGCATTAATTCCTAGTTCACAGATATGGAACTCTAACTGGCTAATTGATCAAGGGAAAGGAATGTGTATGGGGGAGAAAAGGAATAGGATGATGAAGGTAACTTGTTAGGGCAATTAATTAGAAGGAAAACTGTGCAAAGACATTTGTTTGAAGGACGGTACGTTTGATTCCCCATTGACAACGCTGTCTCTTGTCCAATTCATGTGGCATCTTCCAAGCCTTCCCAACTACCAAAGAAGTAAAAACCCATAAACAGGACCCTTTAATAGAATTTCAAAAGCAGTCCAATATAATAATAATGAAAAGATCAATGTGTTTTTTCCTCACCCAAGACACTGATTCTAAAGAATAAAAAGATACCCTTCTTAATCTCTCCGTCTTATTGAAAATATATGCCAGAAAAAAATTAGTATTGCAAGTCAGTGTACTTGATGCATTGGTTAAGAAATTAATAAAATATTTTTTATTAAAAATTAAAACAAAATCATATGAAAGCATATATATTTTAATAAAAACTTTCTGCTACTTATTAGCATTTTTCAAAAGCAATATCTCTATCCTTCTCTCTTCATCTTTTGCTCCTATATATACCCGTGTCATGACATGATGGAATTTTTGTAAGTTCTCCCTCATAAAAGTCCACAAGCATATCAGGTTTTTGTCATAGATTTACTCTCCCTCAAACACACACACACACAGGCTTTTTCTTTTTTCTTTCTTCTCTTTCTCTATTTTTTCTCAGATATGGAAGATTCAGAGGAGGATGAGCTTTTGAACCTTAGCCTTTCAGTTGCTGCTGATAGGGAAAGGAAAAAGAAGGGAAAGGTAATTAGGGAACACAAGAACGTTTCTATGAGTAGTGCTACTACTACTACTACTAGGACAAACTCCTATGAAAGCTACGAAGGGAAGATCTTTAGGCTTCTCCAAATGAGGGAGCAGATGCTAAGACAAGACCATAGGAGGAAAGGAGTGGTGGAAGATGGAAATGGCCTCCCTTTGATCCATTTGCTGCTCTCAACTGCCACTGCAGTTGATGACAACAACTTGGATTCATCCCTAGAGAATCTCACTGATTTATACCAAACAGTGTCCCTAACAGGTGACTCAGTTCAACGTGTTGTGGCACATTTTGCTGATGGTTTGGCTGCAAGGCTTCTCACAAGGAAATCACCATTCTATGACATGCTCATAGGGGAACCAACAACCGAGGAAGAGTTCCTTGCATTCACAGATCTCTACAGGGTTTCACCTTACTTCCAATTCGCTCATTTCACTGCAAACCAAGCCATCTTGGAGGCCTTTGAGAGAGAGGAAGAGAGGAACAACCGTGCTTTGCATGTCATCGACTTTGATGTCTCCTATGGCTTCCAATGGCCTTCTCTCATTCAATCTCTCTCAGAGAAGGCAACAAGTGGCAACCGCATATCCCTCAGGATAACCGGATTTGGCAAGAGCCTCAAAGAACTTCAAGAAACTGAGTCTAGGTTGGTTAGTTTCTCAAAGGGTTTCGGAAGCCTTGTGTTTGAGTTCCAAGGGTTGCTGAGAGGCTCAAGGGTCATCAACCTAAGGAAGAAAAAGAATGAGACTGTTGCTGTCAACTTGGTTTCTTACTTGAACACTTTGAGTTGTTTCATGAAGATCTCTGACACGTTGGGATTTGTTCATTCCCTTAACCCCTCCATTGTGGTGTTGGTGGAGCAAGAGGGTAGCAGGAGCACTCCTAGGAGCTTCTTGTCGAGGTTCACGGACTCCTTGCACTACTTTGCAGCCATGTTTGATTCTCTTGATGATTGTCTCCCTCTTGAGAGTGCTGAGAGGTTGAGAATTGAGAAGAAGCTTTTGGGGAAAGAGATCAAAAGCATGCTGAACAATGTTGACGTGGATGGTGTGGATTGTCCAAAGTATGAGAGGATGGAGACGTGGAAAGTGAGAATGGAGAATCATGGGTTTGTTGGCACCAAAATAAGCTCAAAGTCTATGATCCAAGCAAAACTTTTGCTGAAGATGAGGACACATTATTGTCCTCTCCAGTTTGAGGAAGAGGGAGGTGGGGGTTTCAGGGTTTCTGAAAGAGATGAAGGAAGGGCTATCTCTTTAGGGTGGCAAAATAGGTTTCTGCTTACTGTCTCAGCATGGCAACCAGTATGAGAGATAGATACAATCTTCAATCTTAAGTCCTAACCTTTTCGTCATTTTGGTAATAATCTACTCTCAAAATGATGATTTAGCTTTTATTTTTGTGACTTTCTTTGATTTAGCTGCCTATCTTTTATTTCTGTCTTGAATTATGAACAGCTTTCAGTAGTTGTAGATTGTTCAAGTAAATATATATATGATGCATATATCTATTTTTAAGGAATGTTCCCCTTCTTACTCATAGTTTTAGCATGATGAACCCTAATTTTCCTTTTTCTTTTGGCTTAAAGAGGAAAAACCCTAGTTTAAGCCATGAACATGTATATATGTATCTAATTAATGTGAAACTTATGTTTACCCGAGTAAGATGCGGTTTCTTATTATCCATAAATTTATGTATAATAATACAGGATTTTAGAAGTTACTGATGACTTCATCAATCATGTTGCCAGCTATAGTGTTAAAAAAAAGTTATATATTTCATTTCTACACGGGAACTGTTGTTAACCTTGACGAGAAGTGTGAGTAAAAATGGTATATTATGAAAAGATAGTCAAACAAGAAAAAAAAAATGATAATATTATTATATATAACTATCAAGATTCGAGTCATTTAAACTTCTGGATTGTTGAAGATAAATTTATTGGAATCTAGGTTTTTTTTTCGGGGGGGTGGTTGGATTTGAAATTGTAATTGAGGCAATTTATTTATTTTTGAATAAAAATAGAGACAATAAAACATATGGATATCAGTATGTGCCGATCAAAAGAAGAAACAAAGGACAAAATGTAGGGGAGTTTTGAAATGATTAAAGTTAGCTAGCAATTATTACATGAGTATTTTAAAACATTTAAAATTACAAAACGAAAATTTAAATAAAATATATACATATTAAAAGAAAAAGGCTAACAACATAATATATATATATATATATATATATAATTAATTAATTTTAAAAGATTATTTTAACATAGAGTGACGAGTCACTTTTTAAAAATGAGTATACTAAAAAATTACCTGTTTTTTTTGGTGTTGATCTTTTTTTGGTGTTGAAGAAATTACCTGTTTGATTATATTCTAGTTTTTTTTATTATTATAAAAAAGAACTGTTTTGCAAAAAAAAAATTGTTTTATGAAAGAAAAGAGAGTTTAATAGTTTCTGGCACTTAAAAACTCTCATTGTTTTTCAGAACAAGAACTAAAAATTATCAAAAGGTTGTTTTATAGTTTTTTTTTATATATATTATTTTTTTTAACCTTTTTATCCTTTTAGAATAATTTGTTATGAAACAAGTCCTAAATCAGTCCGAAAATTTATTATAATCCAATATAAAATGAATAAAAATTTAATTGACATGTAAAGTAGAAAAATCTAGTAGTTGTGTTCTTTAATTCTACATAGTAAACTTTTATTTTGATCTTTTAAATAGATATAGGAATTTAATCTTCTACTTATAAACCTTTTAATATTATTTTTGATATGACCATTTTAATGTTTTAACATTGGAGGGTGAAAACGAATATCATAATTAGCAGCTATGTTTAATAAAAAAAAGGAGCTACAAAGATAATCACTTCCCGTTAATTATTAATCTTTTGTGGGTTTCTCATAAGTTAAATATAATATTTTTTTAAAAAAGAAATAATGGTATTAAAATGAAAAAAAAGTCCAATGAAATCACTTCTATTTAAGTCATTTTAAACAAACAAATCCTTATTCTTCTTGGTTTATTTATTTTTTTTATTTTTTAATTTCTACATGAAATCAATATTAAAAAATATTTTCCATACATATCAGAAAATGATTATCACTTGAAAAGCCCGCATGGCTGCATAAAACCACTTCATATATACATATATCATATTGAATTTTGGTTCATTATTCGGTTGAAATATGAACATATATCTATGAAATAATTTGGATTACTACATTTATAACTAACGATCTATTTCACAACACATTGTCTCAACTATTATTTATTTCTGTACTAGCATAATAAGATGTTCTTATTTCTTCATTGAGAATAATATTTAAGGGATGAAGTGTGGCTTAAAAAGTGTTAAGAATACACCAAGTATTAATGCATTAAGTTCTAGTATTAATATTGTTATCACTTATATATCTTTCGATATACTCATAATTATTTACCGTGATATTTTCATTACATTAATAAAAAAAGATTTCTTGAATTGAACATTAACAATCATTTTTCTTTTAATGTTAAAATAATATTATGTCAGTGAAAGCCATATTCTATAAATTCATATTAATCTTTTGTTGTTAGTTTTGAAACAATGTGATTACATTTATGAAAAAAAAAATTGATATGGTATATCTTACTGTAATTTTGAATGGCAGATTTTTTGTCCATTATTTTAATGGCAGATTAATTGTAAAAATAGTTTCATTTGAAATATAAAGGTTACGAATTAAAAATTGTTTTGCTGGCAACATAAGATAACCCAATTCCAAATGGACACGAAATGGGTTGTATCTTGTATGCCTAGCTAGGAATGTAGCATAGCATGTACTATTTTTTGGTTATCCGTGTTGTGTTGAATGTAAGCATTGTTTTGGGAAGAGCAGCCAAAGTAAAAGTAATTTCTGAATGTCACCAATCACCATGCTTCCTAAGCCATTTGGGGCACTTGTCTCATGTTAATTTTTGTAAAAGAGAAAACTAAAATGTTCATGCATGAGTCATAGATGTCATAACCTCTCATTCTAATTCCATTAATTTTGTTTTTCTTGTTCACAGCTATTAGCTACTACTGTACTAGTAAAAGGTTACATTTATTATAGCTTGTAAATTAATCACAATCTGCTATCTCTGTGGGGGATCGTGCCCTTGCAATTGCAAACACCCTCTCTATGTTAAATTGTTAATGGAATCTCTCGTCTGTCAGGCAAAAACAACACACAAGATTTTTAGCCATTTCAAGCAATCAATATTACCTACATTTTTAATAATATATACTAATATATATTGTGTTTATAATACATGTAAAAATAATTTATAGTAATAAATATTATGTCATTGTAAGAAATGTAATATTATATGACAATTTTTTTTTAGTTAAATAACATGAGTTTTTTAGTTAAATATTATTTTATATATAAAACATAATATTTTATGAAGTATTATAAATTTTATGTTATTTATTATTTTACTCTTTAAGATAGTTTTTATTTATTTTGAATGTGCTAAGATAATTTGCTTATAATTGTAATATTATGACTAAATTATTTACATTTATTTAGTGAATCAACTAATAAGGCAACTATTTTTCATAACTTAAAAAAAAAAGTGATTCAATCCATCTTAATTAACTTGTAACCCAATATCAAATTGGGTTTAATATCGAATATCCAACTTATTTTTATACCGGATTAAAAATGGATTGAGTTAGTCCCTCTCCACATTTTTAATACCCGATGAGGTAAAGCTGCAAAAATATGTCCTTTATCAAAAACATATCCTATGGCTTTAACAATTTTGGTTGAGTTATATTATTTTCATGCACAGTTTTTTATAACTTTTTTTACTGATTATTTTTTCTTTAATTTTATTCATGGCATTATACCTTTTAGTTTATACTTTTCTTCTCATTTTTAACGTTTGTCTTAATTGTAAAAGAAATTATACAAAATATTATTGTACAAATAAAATTTATCAATTATTTACGTTCTTTTATTATTTCAAACTTCTTTTTCTTTCTTTTTTATACTCATAGGTAAAGGTTTTATATAAGTAATCCGATATATCATAATCACGATCAAAATATTGATTAGTCTCATGTTTATGCAACAAAATAAAAAAAATATTAATTCCATTTGAAATAAAAATGATTACACAATGGATGGAAGAACGGGATATCCAGATTGTCAATACTTGAGTTTTTCACTTATTTTCTAGAAGGAAAAAAGAGAAATGCATCCTTCAGAATTTAATCTTGAACCATTACATGCACTTATAAGTTTAATTTGTAATATTTTTAATTTGAACCCTTAACAAATTAGAAATATATCACTTTCACTTATTTTCACTTTAGCCTTAACAATTTGTTACGACAATAGATCATCTTATTCAAATTTAATTAAATGATGGCAACACATTTTTATAACAAGTATACATCTATGGCCCCCACGTTGAATTTTGTTCTAATGATTGGAAGTGCATTTATTTGTTATATTATTGCTTCTTCCTTCAGAGAGTTGTCATTATCAAATTATAAATATCTCTCTCTATCTATCCGGATCTCACCATATCAAATCCAGTTAGCTTCTCCTATTGTGACTACTCAATGCCACCTCCAAAGGAAAAAGATGCATTCGCAAAAGACATTTGATGGTTAAGTGAGCATAGGCCACAAGTTCATATGCAAGATGTGGATATCGGATGATTTTACCTATGATGTTTACCCATTTTATATAATGGTTAAAGATAGTAAAAATATAAAAAGTTGTATCTCGGGTAAACTGACAATCACTATTTTATATCAATCTAAGGAAGGCCCAACAAATTGGTAATCATAACACCAAAAGGATCATGAAACACATTCTTTAACTATCACCATACAACGAGAGAAGTGATAGGTTGTGTTTTGGTATTTGCTTATGTGGGTTATTTTATTTTATTTTATTTTTAGAAAGAGCATTATGTTGTTGTTGTAAAATTTAACATTGATTATTTATTCTTTTGGTATTTCATAATATAAGAATTGTTTGTCACATGTTTAAAATGCTTAATTATTCTTTGACGTCAAATCGTCAATTATTGTTGTGGGTCATTTGAATCTGGCTTGACCACCCAAAGCAATTAACTATAACATGTTCCATAACCGAACAGTTTAGTCACAAGTTCATATTTTACAATCAAGCCATATATACGGTTTTAAAAAATATATATGTGAAATTTTCTAGTAATGAACTAAAAAATATCAAATTTCTATCTGCAGTAAAAGATACTAATAGAACGGAATAGTCGGAAAGATAATGTTAAAAACCGAAAGTAAAAAAGAATCACTGATGGAGTGACTAGACGTGTTAAAAACTTGGGGAAAAAAATAGTAATGAAGAAACAAAACAAAGCTTGAACCATCCATACATTGTTGGATGTTTCCTCCTTGTGCAGAAAAAGAAGTTATAGAAAATTGAGACTAATCACTCTTTTTATCGATTGGTATTATATATATATATATATATGCAGTAGCAGGCAGTAGAATATTCCAGCAGTCATTTTATAGTATAAGATTCCAAATCACTTACTCAAAACAGTAAGCAACCAATAAATTTGGCTACCTGAATAGGTTCTGTTAATTTTTTGGCTGCAAAAAACATTAACGTGTCAAGAACCACATGGGACTACCAATTCGAAGAGCTTTATGTTTAGGATAAGATTAATAATTAAGTTTTAAAATAGTGATTTCATTATTAAAAAACTTGGGTTCTGATGATAATTGTATCCTACAGCGAGAGAAAGAACATAACGTTAAGTAATTCAATAACATACGAAAATCATAGATCATTGATGGTCAAATTAGTTCTCAAATAATCATGTTATATTTTCACATTCATACGAAAATCATAGATTATTGATGGTTAAACAAACATTTCTCTATATATAATCCTCTATGCATTTATATTTTCACATTCATACTATTAAATTTGAACAATATATTTAAATTTATAATATTCATTAATTGATAGAATTGTCAAAATATATTTTTAATATACGTTTAAAAATTTGATAATTCAATACTAATTTTATTGAAAATAAGTATTTGCTAAATTTAATAATTTAAAAACTTTAACAATTTATAATATTTAATAATTAAAAAATAATTTTAAATATTTAATAATTAAAAATAAATATTAATAAATTATACATCAATATTAATAGGTAAAAGTGTAACAAAAAGTATTGATAAATAAAAACAAGATAAGAGAAAAAACAAATAAAAGAAGAAAAAGAAATAAATGAGAGATGTAAAAAAAAAAAAAAAAGAGAGAATATGAAATAGAGAAGTCATGATAAGAGAGAGAAGGGAAGAAAGAGAGAGAAAAAAAAAAAGATGAGATAAGGAAGAGAGAGAAGATAAATAGAGAGAAAAGAGAAGATGATATGCATAGAGGAAAAAAATAGAGAAAAAAAATGAGAAAAAAAGTTATGCAAAATTTCAATAATTTTGATGATAAATTATATATAAATTCTACTTAAAAGTCTCCAAAAATTCATTCATCAAAATAATTTGTTAAAATATCTATATTTTTAAATACTACTAGAATTTTTTTAAGTGAAAAAAGTTTTAATTTAATATATTTTAACATACCCTTAAAAAAAATATTGATTGTTTTAATTGAGTATTATCAAATTTTGATATACTATTAAAAATTATAATTATTTTAATTAAATACCACATAAATTTTTTTATATTAAAAAAGTCTTGTAATATTATAATAAAAAAAACTCTTTTAAAATCATTTGAAGTCTTAATCTAACACACCTCCCAAGTGTTAATGAGTTATCCTCTTTGAATTTATATTTAAGCAAAAAATGCTTAAAATTTTCATATTGAAATATAAATAAATTTCAATAAAATAAATGATCTTAACAAAAAAATACCCCCAAGATAATAAATGGAAACAATATCTACAATAAATTTGATTAAAAATATTTTAAGAAATATAATATATATTATATATAAAATTATGAGAATTAAATGCATTTAATTAACTTCTTAAATCTATATGAAATTAGATTATTTTACTTATATATAAATCCAAATGAAGTAATAATTATGTAAGTGTTAGTAAAGTGTGACGGTTACAAATAAAGTCAATATTAATATATGTGTATAAAAAGATATTAGAATTATTAATGTCAATTTAGGGTGAAAATTAACAATAATATATACAAAATGTTATGTTTAAATTCATTATTGTTTTTTTTCTTTTATAATTTTTATTGATAAAAAAATTAAAAAAAATTGACGTTTATTAATTATTTAGTCTATTCATAAGTCCACATTAATGTGGGGAGAAAAAAATATTACCATTAATATTATGCGGTGTAAAAAAAAAATACTATTATCATGATGTTTCTCCTTTTTTTCTAAACACCAAAACAACCATGTTGTCTTTGCAATTAATCGCATACCATAATTAACATTAGCTAGCATTGAATCCACCATCATTTTGAAATTACATACAGAAGGCAATGGAAGAATTTAATAATTAGCAACAAACTAGTCGTTGCTTACATTTAAAAAAGCAAAAAATATTTATTAGTAATGGCTCACTTGCAATATTTTAAATTACTAATTGTGATGGAATGAATCATAATTCATTCTCTTTCATTACATTTCATCCTCATTTTCACATATTAAACAAAGGAACAATTTCTCCTTTCACTTCATCCTACTCAATGGCCACTTTTTACTTCCAATCCAAACAAAATCTTAAGAACAGAATATTTATGAATCATAAAAATTAAGACGAGTACGTAAAATTGAGTTCACGAATTTAATATAACGAAGATATAAAGATTTTTTTTATTCATTTAACTATAGATTATTTTATATTTATTTTTTCTGGTAACAATAATTTATATATACATGTTAATAGTGTAAAAAGTTTTTACATATTTAACCAATAGGTAATAATAATGATAAGTATGACCTTTAAATTAAATAATTATTATAAAAGATAATATACTTACTCGATTTGTACATAAACAATAGAAAAACTCTTTATATTCTCAATACACAAACTATTTTCCCATCTTATAATTAAAATAATTTTTTGGCAATTTATATAAAAAAAAAAGAATACAATTTCCTATTAACGATTAATTTATATAAAAAAAAAGAATACAAATTGATACTATTAATTATTTGTTTTGAGAAGTCCATAAATGTCTTGTTGTGGAAGCGTAAGGCATAGTCATAGGAAAATATAGCCGTTGGAGAACGGCGGCATCTCCGAACATTCAGTCACTGAATTCTTCTTCAATGGCTTCCATTTCCACCAAGAATGAGAATGAGGAACAAGAAGACGAAGGCAGAGTGCCAGTTATAACGGTGCTAAAGAACAGCGCAATCGTGAAGAACATCGTCATCATCATGGAGGACGATCAAACGGTCCTGATAGGGCGACACCCTCAATGCAACATCGTCCTCACGCACCCTAGCGTTAGCCGCTTCCACCTCAGGCTTCGCTCCAACCCCAATTCACGCGCCCTTTCCCTCGTTGATTTGGCTTCTGGTGCGATACTCGTTAAACCATTCTTTCTTTCAATCTTTACGCCTTTTTAACCTTTTTATTCTCTGTCGGGTAGTGCATGGCACGTGGGTGTGTGGCAGCAGGCTCCAGCCAGGGATCACTATGGAATTGAAGGAAGGTGACACCTTTACGGTTGGGGTTTCCACTAGGCTTTATCGACTCAGCTGGGTTCCTCTTACCCAAGTCCATGGGTTTCTGCCCCAACCACATGATCCAATAATCAAGGTACCATTTTTTTAATGGACAAAACATTTTTTTGTCCTTAATATATGTTGAAATTCAATTTTAGACTCTGGAAAAATATAGTCCTTAATTTTATTAAAAGTGATGTGGCCTTAACTTCCTCACTAATCCACGGTTTTTTTATTTTATTTTATTTTATCCATTGAAATCGAACTCAAACTTGTTATCTTTACAATAACTGATGCATCTTGTTTAATGACCTGAGTTAAACCCTATTAGGTGAATCATTTTTTTAGGGATTAAAACTGAATTTTAAGATAAGGGACTGAAAAGTAAAAACATGTTTTATCTTAACTTTTTAATGTTTATTTCGTTAATTTTGGGAATTACTTGGGGTGGTGAATTTTTGAGAACTGAGACAGCTTTAAAGGGATACAGATGTTCGGTAAATTGATGTCTACAAGCTTCAGGCGGGCTAGTTTGGTCTATTTATTCAGGGCATTTGTTTGTTAAATGTCAAGTAATTTTGACTTGAATGTTATCTATGATTTTTCTCTCCTTTGGTTTGGAATTCAGGATGAAAATGTGGAACTAACTGTGGAACAAGAGATTCCGATGGCTGAAGAAATTGTTTCTCTTTGTTGTGATGAAGAAAGGAAGAGCCATTCTGGTGATGAGGCATTTGGGGTTCTCAATGGAATTGAAACATCATCTTTTCTTGCAAACTCTGATGGTAAAAATAAACCGTGTGACTGTGAAATTAGTGTTCTATCTCCCCCTAATGTACAATCAGTTCAAGAACTTTGTAATACACACAACATTGAAGCTTGCCCTGAGGTGGAGATGCCTGGAGAAACTAATTTGTTTTGCACATTGACAGAATACTTGACGTACAACATATGTCTGCCAGTTGTGGAAGCAGTCCAGGGGACCAACATTCTGCAATTTCAGGCCCCACTTGATACTTTAACTGGACAACCAACTTCCTTAGTAGGACACTGGTCTAGTTTGCCAACAAATATTGATTCCCTATCTTTTGTTGTAAGGGATGTTGCGGCAGAGACTGTAATACCTACAGAATCTGAATTTGGATGCACACGTGGAGATAAAGACAATGACAAGGATGAAGATATTTTAACTAACGGAGCAGGAATTTTCAATTCTGAGAACATATGTTTGCTAGTTGACGAGGTTATTCCTGATTCTAAAATTCATCAAATCGAAGTTGTTGAAGAAGTTTCAGTGGAATCAGTACCTGATGGAGAAAAACAAGATGAATGCAAGGAAGGGTATAAACCAAATATGCAGGACCTGAATGCTAAATCTTGCTGTGAGGAAGGGTACTCATTGGATGAAATAGTTGAAGATAATGGAAACAAATGCATCGAAAACATAGATCCTGTAAATTTTGACGAAACAAGTTTAGCTGACAATGACAAGATTGAAGACATTTTAACAACGGAGTCGAGAATTATCAATTCTGAGAACACATGCTTGCTAGATGAGGAAGCTATTCCTATTACCGAATTTCAACTAAACAATGTTGTCAAAAAAGTTGCTATGGATTCAACAGTTGATGGAGAAAAAGAAGATAAATGTGGCAAGGAGTTGAAGTCAATGTTGCAGGCATCCCTGAATGCTAAATCATGTCATGAGAAAGGTAACTCGGTGGATGAAATAGCTGAAGATACTGGAAACAAGTGTGCAAGCAGCATCTCCTCCATGTCATTTCAAGTAGAATCACCAGATTCTTCAATGCCTCGGGAAGTTGTTTTCAGCATTAAAATTGAGAAACAGACCCCTCAATCTCTCACTGCTGTGACAGGATGCTATGGGAGGGAGATCCTTGAAAACCATGTAGAACCATTAGAGAAAAGTTCAATCTATGGCAATATTTGGTCAAAAAGGGTTAAGGCTGCTAGTGCTCCCAAAGTTCGAGCCAGAAAGAGTAGATTTATGAGCCCATCTAAGTTTGACACTGAAGTTAAAATGAGTAGGGTGAAGGGTGTCATGAATAAAATGCCAAAGGATCTTTCATCTGTTTTTGATGAGGAAGAAGAAATATCCACTTCAAATAAGGAAAACTTAAATACCTATCACTTGCGGTGTATGAGAAAGGAAGGTAAGCTAGAAGAAAGTAAACATTCCAAGTCAGCTGAAAGGTTAAGCTCCGTTTCAAACAAAGTGAACCAGACTCCAAAAGTAGCTCAAGAACAGAAGTCAGGAAGGAATCCTCTTGAATGTCGAAACAACTTGGCCCATGATCAAGATATGATGGAATTAAAAAAGACCAGCAGAGTGGTTGGGGTACCCTTCCAATCACTAATGAACTCTGGAGGCAATCATAAATCAGTGACTGCTTCTGCCACAAAAAACATTGATGGTGCCAGTATTTGTCGACAGATTTCTAACAACCACACTAAACCTTCTGTAAGTCAACATATATTCATATATCATTGTTATTGTAAATGACTCGAGTTCATTTAGCAGCATGCTTACACTTGTTCCATTTGTAGCATATTAGTAGAGATTCTAGAGAACAAAAGAGGAGCTGGGACATGGTTGTAGACACTGCTTCTCTTCTGAACAAGGAGTCAAGGAAAGCTTTGCAGCTTCTACAAGGTCTCCAGGGGACTCGTTTAATCGTTCCAAAATTAGGTAAATTTGTTTTAGATTATTATATGCCTTGTTTTCTACTTTGGATTGGAAGTGTTGTTGTTTTCGTCAGAAGCAAAAACTGGTCTTCACCCTAACACTCTGTAATATCAGTCGTAAGGGAACTAGGCAGTATGAAGCAACAACAATTTAGAATTTTCAGAAGAACTTCACAGGCCTCTTTGGCATTAGAATGGATTGAAGAATGCATGGAGAAAACAAGGTGGTGGATTCATATCCAAAGCTCAAGGGAGGAGTGCAGGCTGACAGCACCAACCCCTCCTGCTTCTCCTTATGGTCAATTTATTGAAGAGAGTTGGGCTTTTCCTGGTTCCAATAGCTCAAAGGAACGTGCTTCACCTAAAGTTGAAGATCACATCCTAGACTGTGCTCTTCAATATAGAAGCAAGAAGAATGTTGGACAACTTGTCCTCCTTAGTGATGACGTCACATTGAAAATAAAATCCATGGCAAAGGTATTTCCTTCTCTTAGATTATCATCTCGATTCTCTTGTCATGTCTCATTTTCCAAACTCATTGATGCTCTCTTTTACTATTGCAGGGGTTGCTATGTGAGACAGTGGAACAATTTCGGCAGAGTTTAGTGAACCCCTTCTCTAGTAGGTTCATGTGGCCAAAGAGCTCTCCTCGAGGACTGACTTGGTCTTGCCAAGATGATTTAGTTTTAAGGGAAAAATATTGTAAATTACCATCAAAGGCTGGTTTGAAGCTCATCCCTGAGCAGTTTTTGTACTTTCCATGATTTGATTATCAACTATAGTCTCATTTTCAGTTTTCAAACTTACTCTTATAAGCTCCAAACCTCTCCACTTTTGAAACTTACCCCGGACAATTTTGCCAACCTGGAAGAAAAACCATTAACGGATGATAATTGGGTGACATCTCGCATTTAACATATACATCTAACCAACTAAATTGAGACAAATAGACGTGATAACTGACTTGAATAACAGGAGTTTAATTAAGGTATGAGTTTTGTTTCCAAGGATTGATATCTTACGGAGAAAAGTGCCCTCTAATTCTATTTCTTATAGCTAATGAACTATTGTTTTATAATGATTTACATATCCAATTTTTTTTTTGTACAAGTAATATTGTCGTAAAACAAATGTTATTCGAACAATAAATCTTTATAATATTTTCACGTTCACTTTTTGTTTATTCTTTTCTATTTTATTATACATTTTCCTCTGTTATCTTTTTATCTTTCTGCTTAGGATTAAATTTGATGCAAAAAAAAAAAATATTATATAGATACGGATATGCGATGACTTTCCTCGTCCCATGAGTTTTAAGCAACCGACCCCATGCATGTTGATTCAAAACAATTTCAGGCTACAAAATTGTAAGCCACTGAAGAAGTCATTGGTGTGTCATACAAGTACAAGACTGATTGACCGAGCTTGTACCGAAATGGTTTTCGAAAATAGAAGTGACAACTGTTCACAAAAAAAATATATCAAGATTAGACAGAATGTGTCAAAGATTCATGGCTGATGCTTCTCCAAAAATACAAAAACGGTATATTAGATTTAAGAAAATGTTGTTTTTAATTTCTAACTTTAATGATGACAAATGTCACTTTGTCTTTTCTATTTTATATTTAAAGATCTATCTCGGAAAACAAACATTTCATGTACAATTAAAAAATGTTTTTATAATTATAAATAATTAAAAAAAAAACTTATTTAGATAAACTTATTTAAAGCATTTTTACGAAGAAAAAAAAGTATTATAAGATTCTCTCATAAACTAAATTTAGCTTATACATCAATTAAAATTAGTTTTTGAGAAAGTTAAACAGAAGAACTTCTGTGAATTAACTTGGACATTTATTAATTTTAAATTATAAAGGAGACTTATTTTATTTTTCTTCTTATTTTCTTTCTCTTGCACGTGCTTATAAAAAAGTTTATCCTACCAAAACTAAAATAGAAACATAAAACTTTCCTTTCAACGTAAAGAAATGGGGAGCACATGACATTACCTGGCTTTACAAATTTGACAAACAAAAGGATTATTCGTTGACAGGGGAATAAAGAAAACATAGACATTATGTAGAGTAACATGTCACAACAGATTTTCAGAACTTGATTCACCGCCACCAAATTTAGGGGCATAATTAAAGGATCCTGACATGAGAAAAGAGAAAGAACCTTCTGAATCTTCAAATGGTGGTTGGGAGAATTCATTAAACCCACCAAAGTTACAGCCTTCGAAGTTCAAGGATGAGAAATAATTCATAGGATCATCAATATTACCTTTCACATCCATCGTGTTTTGCACTACATTTTCACTCGAAGGATTTGATCCAAAACAGAAGTTCATACTTGGAACCTTATTGTTGCTTTCTCTGTTCTGGAGATCAGGTGGCTCAGCCACTCCTTTGGTGTCATCCAAAGGAATAGCTGGTGTATGGCCTTGGAAAAGGGCAATGTGTCCGAAAAGCTTGTCTTTCCTTGAAAATGTTGTGCCACACGAACAGAGCCATTTATCCTTTCCACAGTGTTTTTCATGAGTTTTAAGGTCTGCCATCACTGAAAACTTCTTGGTGTTGCATCTGCTGCAAGTGTAGCTCTTGTCACAGTGTGTTCTTTTGTAGTGGTTTTTAACACACAAAATGGTTTTCAGTGGTTGGAATTTCTTGTGATCCTTGTTGCGCTTGCAGCCAGCATAGGGGCAGGAATACCTCTTGATGAGCTTTGGTTCAGACCCAGTTTCTTTGTGTGGTTTTGCAAGAGCTGCAGGAGTTTTGTACTCGTCACCATGGCCTCGCATGTGCATTTGCAGATTCGCATCCCTCTTGAATCCCTTCCCACACATGGTACAAAAATGTGTGTGAGGTGCAAGGATTTCTTCTTTTTCTAATTGTAAAATCTCGTAGGAACCAGGAGGAAGATGCTCTCCCTCGTCCATATCTTCTTCATCTTTTGGTTCATGTTCTTCCATGTTGTAGTTTTGTTCAATTTCACAATTATTTGGAAGTATATCATTCTGAGTGGACTGATCAAGCAGTTTAGTTCCACTATTATTTTGTGGCCTAACACCACTACCTGTGTCTGATCCAAAAGGGAGGTTAATCCCATGAAGCTGGTCAAGCTGTCCAACCAAGGGATTTGTGTTTGTGAGGGTGTGCCTAACAGAAGGGAGAAGACTACCAGCAGTAGAGATCAATTGAACAATAATCGATGTAAGATCAGCTGTGACGAGCTGCTGTTCCTGAGTCACTAGTTCATGAGGCTGTCCAAAAGGTTGGCATTTTTTATTAACAATTAAATGCACTAGATCACGGAGCTGATGAATCTTTTCTTCAAGGAAGGAAAGGTTATTCAACATCACACTTGGATTCCAATCTTGGAGTTTACTGGTATGTGATGAGTCACTCAGATGACAATTTTCTTGGTCAGGGATCTCAATATCTTTGTTAGGTTCACCTGGAAGCACAGATTGGGTTGGAGGAGAGGGTAGGTTGTATTCTTTGAAAGGTGTTTCAGTCCTGACCCCATAGAAAGAGGAAGGATCTGAGGGAAAAATTGTTTGTAATTCATTCACAAGGGAGGTTAAGGAAGAGGACCTTGTGCTGTTGTTAGCACATAAGCTTCCTTTTGGATCCATTTGAGGAATCAAAATCCCTGTCAATCAAAGGTATCTATGTGAAGAACAGGTGATTTACATCAAATCATTTAAAAGTATCAACATCATTCAACATAGATGTCCTTGCAAATACAAACACACATACCACAAAATCGACAATTGGTATCAGATTCATGAAATCAAAATCACTCTAGCAAATGAATCAACTTTTTAAGGTAATATGGTCAATTAACTAGTAAAATCTAAGGCTTCAATCAGCCAATACGCACACAGTAATTTCAACTCTCAAGACCAAGCTAGCTACTTTTCTCTTCAGGTATCTTCAGATCCAAAATACCAAATTAAAAATCTCCCTTTTCAACAAATACTTAAATCACCGGACAATCAGAAAAAAACAAAACCCTTCCCCCATCACCCTTCAGCTCTTCTATATGAAGCTGCATATTCCAATACCCCATTTGTAGATAATCAATAATCAAATCTCTTAAAGAAGCAGTTTTGACAGTTACAAACTCAAAAACCTCTCCACCCTTTCACTCTCACCTCTTGTTCTTCCCAATCATTAACTACCCCAATTTCCAACATATCAAAATTCGTAGCAACTAAACACCAATTCAGATTTTGACCCCTTAAAAGGGGTTAAAAAAATGATGCAATTCAGAGAAAACCCATCAAAAGATTGAAGGTGCCAATATTAAAAAAATCCAAAAAAAAAAGTTTAGAGAAAAGATGCATGCTTTCTGAAAACAAACCCTAAAAATCGAAATATGAACAGAAATCGAAAGAGTAAAGAACTTACAGTGACAGATTCAAAGGTGTAACAGGGCAAATGCTCCACTAGAGAGGAGAAGAAAAAAGAAAAAGAAAAAAAAAATAGCGAGGAGGAAGAGAACATGGGAGGTGAAGTGAAAGCTTAAATAAGCAATATCTCAGTTACCAAGAAGCTTAACTCTGTTCCTTCCTTCCTTCCTTTGGTGTTGCACAGCAGAAGCATATTTGGTCAACCCCACTGTTACTACCGTCCATTTGGTGGGTCAATGTTGCTCGGGGCCCACACTGGATGTGGTGGGGGCACTTCTTATCACCTCGTTTGCATCCCTCAATCACAGCCGTTGCTGCTTTTTTATCAGATCGACTACGAGATCCAACGGTCCCCACACAAGACAACATTTTTTTTTCTTTTTTAAGATAAGAAAAATTACAAAGATGGTCGCAATAAGAATTGAACCTAGGTCCTCATACTTCTAACTACCTCAACTCCTTTCCACCCAACCAGGCTAACCCTAATGGTCACCCACACAAGACAACTAATTACATGTTTTCTTCTATAACCATGATCCAGAAATGACGCTAAAATTCATTTTAAAACAATTAATAGTTAATTTATTTTCATTCATCACCAAATTGACGTGAATTCAAACATGTTCGGTCCAAATAGAGCTTGTTTTGTTTCATTATTTGAATAGTCGCAAATGTTAAATCTTATTATGTATACTTATAATAGCAACATTAGTCATTATTTTTTATGAATATCATAGCATATGATTATTAATATATTTGAATGTACATGCATGCACACATGAAACTTTGACTTGACCTTAAAAATGAAAGCGTGTGTAAAGTGATTGAGCTGGTGGAGGTAGGTTCTGTAGTGGCGATTGTAGTGAGTTTCCCAGGAACCTACACTCCATACAAATATGGCTTTGTTGCTCCTTTTCATGTACAAAGCCTTTTAACTTCATATCTACGTCACCTATTCATGCTTCCAACCAAGACACCAAAACTATAATTAAGATTAAATATATATGATTTCATCCTTAAAAAATCATTTTCTCCAATTTAATTTGGAAAAAAATATCAAATAATGGTGTGTTTATTTGTCGTTTTTGGTAATTCTGTTCTATTTCAAAAGATCCTTAATGTCTATATTAATGAAATATTATTATGTAATTTTTTTTTATACTTCATTAAGTGATCTAAAACTATTATGATTCGATTAATTTTTACGTGAAATGTAATTGATCATTTTCAATTATTTTATAAATTGATAAATAAATAAATATATAATATAAAAATCGATTGATATTATGGAGCATAATAGTCCAGACTCTACTTATATTTCCGTTATCACAACTTAGAACCCAAATATGAAATTAAGGTTTGTTTCACTAAATTTATACATGAAGCCATCCTCCAATAACGAGAACTTTGCATTTGTATATAATAATTGAGACTAGTTGATGGTGTCAAATCCATATTTCTTTAGTCATAATATTCTCATTAAAAATACATTAAGACATTATTAATTAAAACATAAAAGGGGTGTTCCTAAAACTAATCTTTTGAATTGCTACAGTTAATATTTGGACATTATTCATTGAATCTGTTGTTCCACCTGATGGGAAGTCACCACTTTGTGAAAGATATGTTTTTGTCTTCTTCATGCATGTTAAAGTTGTTCATCTCCATTATTATGTAAACAATGAATACGCGTGTCTTGATTCACAAAAGCCAATATCCAATCATTTTATCAGAAAGAGGGAGGATAGAGATAGGATTCGAAGAGTGAAAGTGCTGGAACTGTTGGCATGAGGTGAGAACCAAGAATAAATCCTCTTATATTGAATTTTAACCTTATCATATGAAAATAGTGTTTTTCTTTTTAACAAGTTTTTATAAATTGTAATGAAATGAAACCTCATTTTTTAAATATCTATCAACAGAACACAAGACCTTAAAGTAAAAATTCTAAAGGACATGAAAGAAGTATAATTGTATCTTTTATTTTATATGTGAAGAAAGGAACAACAATGACACAAAAGTGAAGTGAGAAATTATATTTGTATAATAAATTTTACAACTAAAAGGGAGAAAAAGAGAAAAGAGTGAAGAGAGAGAAGTTTGAAATGAAATAAATGATAAAGTGAAAAGAAGATAAACACAAGATAATGTTACATGACTTGCTGTATATGTATCATAACTCAAGTAAATTTATTGTTTATTGTAAAATATTTATGTTTTAGTTTTTCTTTTCCTTTTAGCAAGTAAAATCATAATCTAAATTTTTACACTGTTTCATTGTGAGGAGAGAAATGAGTGAAATAGAGTGGAGAGAAATAAAAGAGAGACATAGATAAAAAAAATAGAATAAAAGAAAGATTATTTGGCTTGTAAGAAATAGAAGAGAAATAATATTGTAAAGTTGTTTAATTCGAATGGATGAATAGGAAAGAAATTATAATTAATAATAAAATTACAATATTACCCTTCTATCAAATTCTTACACATTTTATCTAAATAAACATATGCTTATTTTAAATAAATATATATTAAATAAAGACATTTTTTCTTATATTTAATAAAAAAATTTATAATATTACCCTTTTGTTATTTATTATAAAATTATTATTTATTTGATTAAACAATATTTATTCGAATAAAATTATTTTATTCGAAAAAACAACGCACTTCTAGCCTAGGAATGAAAATAATTAGAAATAAATGTGGAAAAATGAAAAGAGGAGAGAAATAAATAAGTAGAGTAAAAAGAAAAAATACAAAATAATTTTTTAAAAAATGAATTTTTATTAATTATTTATTTATCTAATCAATTAAATAAAAAATATATAATTAAATAAATAATATTATGAAATAAAATAAATAACTAATTAAAAATAAAATTAATTATATAATTGTAAAAAGCTTCATTCGAATAAAAAACTTCTTATTCGAAAAAAAGTTTTCATATTTGAATAAAAGGTTTCACTATTCGAATAAAAACTTTAGTTATTCAATTAAAATTTTTGGTTATTCAAATAAATTACACAACACGCATTTCTCTTTGCTATTTCTTCTCAATTTTGTGACGAAATTTTACAGACATAGGACTTATGTATGTAAATTTATCGTATAACAAAATTCATACTTACCAAACAAATAAACTTATTTCTTATCAATTATTTCTTCTCTTTCGTTGCTATTTCTTGGGTTGTTTCAGCAGTATCAAACACATCATTAGTGGTTGAAGGACAAAGTGGAGGCCCAGCACGGCCGTCAATGATTCAAAATATGATATAAGCAATGACGAAATGAAAAAAATGATGAAAGGAATCACTTTAACAAGGCACAAAAATGACAGTTTATAAAATAAAGAAGAAAAAAAAAGGACGCATTTTGACACGTGAGTAAAGGCACTTTCAAGTTTCAACTACATTTCCCACCACTAGTATGCCTCAGCTAGTAACTACACCAATAGAGTCAAAATTCCTTCCAACACAACTAAGTTATTGAAAACTATTTATTTAACTATGCCATGTTTCATAGTGTGCCACTCATTTCTTCTCCGTTGATTTGATGACAGTAGCTCCTTTGGTTGCTTCAACAAGTTCCTTCAAAGAATCTCTCCTAGGCCGGGCAACCTTGTTGTTAGGATCAAATAGTAGGACTTCTTCAAATGCCTTCAAAGCAGACTTGTACTCTTTTTTACTCTCATAAGCATCTCCGAGATTGTTCCAAGCTGTCACATAGCCTGGTTGAAGCTTCACAGCTGTCTCAAACTGAGCAATTCCTTTGTCAACTTTGCCGTCGCGGACATAGCTCACACCAAGAGCGTTGTAAACCTATTGATGATGGATATGGATGATGTGGTCATTACCACCAAAGTTGTTAACAAGTCATATCAAAATAAAGAATATTAGTAAGTAGTACCACACTTTCTAACACACTCTTTACTATTAATACAAATTTATTAAAAACTACAAAATCATGAGTGAAGGCTCATTAAATAACGTGACGAATTTACATAATTTTGTGTTTTTTTTTAATAAATTTTAGTAAATAATAAACAGTATGTTTTAAAGAACTAAAGAATGTGCTATACTAGTATTTATTTATTAGAATATGCCAATAGTGGTAGAATTGTATTAAGTGTACACCTCAACCGCACAAAGGTGTTACCACTCTCCTATTTTTAAAGAATTCAAAATTCAACATATTACATATATAATTTATTTTGTTAGCAATCAAACAAGTCATCTAACCTGGGCAAGATCTGGATTATCCCCATCCCATTTCTCAATTGCTTGAAGCAAGAACTTGGTAGCAGCAGGGTAAAATTTCCTGCGCAGCATCACTGCACCAAGTTCAAAAAGCTCGGTTGCACCAGCATCGCCACTTCTTACTTGCTCCTGAGGCAATGGAAGAAAATGAGTTGGTACAAAGGAACATAAACAACTAGTAGTTCTAAGTGGCTTGAGCTGGTGTATAATCTTTATGAAGGTACGGGTACGGGTACCAAACCAGGAAAAAAAAATTCATACAACTAACATAAAATTCAGGGTCTAATACTATATTTCAAGGAGTTTAATGCCATATATCTTGCTCAAGAGAAACATCTAATAATCTGAAGGACCAAAAGGAAGATGCATAGGCTCTTACCTGCAATTCTTTGGCAGATAGGTCAAGTTCTCTGCGGACAAGAACTTGGCGAATCACAAAGTAAGTCCCAGTCCCTAGCAAACTCAATAGCAATAACAAGTATATTAGTTGGATGCTTAAATCAAACAACTCTCCAACCTCATATATCTCATTTATCTTCATTGAGCTGCTTGCATATGAAACATCAGGAGAAATCACTGATATAGTTTGTCCAAACAAGAATGCCGAAACCCATTTGGATGATCTGCCCCCATCTTCAAGATCTTTGGTTGTAAAGTCATTCACTGAAAATCCAGCAAGACTAAATTAAAAGAGCAATGTCTCAAGTGACTGTTGCAATTTTAAAACAAAATTGAAGATTAGGAATTAGTTGATGTTTGCCCAAATTGAAGTACAACACATTGGCTCAGAATTAACAAGGTACACAAATTTTTCATTGATTTGACTCAATCAGCAATTTTTATTTTTTTTATTATTTAGAAAGACTCAATTGACAATTTGAATATTAACAATAACCAATACAATTAAATCTAAGGGAAATTATCAGATTTTTTTGCCACCTAGAGCTGCCAAATTGAGTTTAATTCATTCCAATTGTTTGGTCCATTCTGTAGTTGGAACCCTTCCACATCGACTAAAGGTGGTTTGAACCTCTTACACAGCAAAAAAATATAATTAAACAGGTAGTCTAAAGTCTAAATTTACTTTTATGACTGACTCAAGTATTTTTCTTATTTTCAATCCAAATTTTTGTTTATCATTTTATATTGGAAAAAATCCAAGTCCCACATCGACTAATGATAAAGTCAACAAAGTGTATATAAGAAGGAAACAATTCTTACCTTATAAGTTGATATTGTAAGGTTGAGTAAGACTATTAACCCATTTTCTTAAGATTTTTGTAAGTTTGAGATAAGCTTTGATCAACTTTCTAAGATGGTATTAGAGCAATCTAAATCCACTTTAAGTCTCCTAGAGTCCTATCCCACTAATTTTAAGATATTTATAATAAGATTGAATTAAAATCCAATCCACTTATTAATGATCAAGGATAGACGTGACTTAAGTTTTTGCCAATATTTTGGTACGGAAAAACATGCTAAGAATAAGAAAAGTAATAACAGAGAATAGGGAATTACTCATAGATTGTTTGTTGACAAGGGAATTAAGGAATCCTGTTGGCTTTTCCTTTTGAAACTTCTGTCTTCGTCCACAATGGAAGAAAAAATTAGTATCCAGAACTTAAGGTGTGAACAAAAGGCATGAATAATGAGAATGCTTCAAGGTTAAACTGATACTGGTATTTAGAATGAAACACTAAACAAGACCTAGTGCTGATATTTGTCAGCTAAATAGAAGAGAAATCAATGCATCAATTAAGACTGTAAGAAACAATGCAATGGTCATACTTTTAAGTGAACACAAGATTCATTATATCACTAGTGATAATAAAATGCTTAATTTTATTTTAGAACATGAAAAATCTAATCAACCTGCAGCACAATCCTGCTTTTCATTGCGTCAAGGTTATCTCCATGTCGTATGGATCCTGTCTGCTGAATTCCCGAGGCTTTTATTTTTCTGTATTTAGCGCTCCAAGTTAACAATTATCCATTAATTATACCATACTAAACCACCAGAAACAAGAGCCTCTAAGAGGGTAACAAAACTGAATGTCTTGAATACGAATATGTAACCAACTACAAATCTAGGAATTCATTTCTCACCACACTCCCACATAACCACTCAATTAAAACATAAGACATGCTAGCAACACACTCTATCTAACACATTCTCAACTATTAGCTGAAATTTGTTAGAAATCACAAAATTGTGTGGTCCCACTCCTTATTAGTAGAGGGCAACATGTAACATGGAAAAAGGAAACTTGGCAGTCGCCAATTATACAGTTACCAAATTCAGCACTCTCTTAAACAACATTAGCCACAAACACTAACAATATTTAAATGAAGCACCCCATTAAACCACGATACTCAAGCTCCAATCTTTTTCAACCAAGAAGCCAAAATGGTGGAAAATAAAGAGAGAATTACTTTACAGAGCATGTGTAACGAGGAGGAGCTGAGGATTGGGAAGTAGCGAATTTGGAAGGGAATTGGTTGCAGATGAGGGTGAAGGGAAGTGATTCATTGATGGGTTTGGTGGAAAATTTAGATGGGAAGAGAATGGAAAGAGAGGGAGGGGAGGAGGAAGGGAGAAGAAGAAAGTGGGTGAAAATGGAACCACCCATCTTCGCTTCTGCTTCTGCTTCTGCTAGAGTTTGGGTTATCCTGCTCCAGCAAGAATGCCACCTAGGACGGGAACATCATTGTTACATTACCCTCTTCATTTATCCTTACTATTTGTTATGTGACTTATGTTAATATTATACCACTACTATATTCATATAAGTCCCCGTGTTTAAATATAAAAATAAGTGAATTTAATGTCTTAAAAATATTTAATACAATCTTTTTAATATTTATTATGCAAAGAATTATAATTATTTTAATAATTATTTTTAAGAATAGCTTTTCAAAAATTCTGCACTGCTAATATGTTATTTTTAATTACTATTACTACTATACATCATTAATAACAATTATGTTGTGTTTAACCATGTGTATAAATTATATTAAATCAAAACACTGCTTTTTTTTTTAGTATAAATTTTGGTATCGCTATTTTTTTTAACTTGACAAGAAATTTAAAGTACAAGAATATAACAATTTTTTTACAATGTTTTTTTATTTTTATTTTTATGTTATTTATATCATATTTCACTCTTCTTCTCATTATTAAATAAAGAATATCGTTAACTAGTATCTTAAAATAGTTAGAAATAAAAAGTAAGATCATTTTCCGTACATTTATACATATAAAAAAGATGTTTGTTTTATGTGTACATATTTTTTAAATTATTTTATCTCTGTAATTATCATAAACTACTCATACTTTCTAATTACATATTATCAACTATTATTTGTTACTTCTATTATCTCATCTTTTTTATTTTTTAGTAATTATAAAGTCACAAAGTATTTTTTTCCCCTAATGAAAATTATAGAAGTTGCAAGTGTTATACTTTTAGGGAAAAAAATTCTATTTACATTCCTTAAACAAACACTAATTAGCATTTTATGAACTAGTAGGACAAGATATATACCTTTTCTGTTTCTTTTAATTATCAATTTTTAAGAAAATATTATTTATTTATTTATCATTTTCAATATTCAATCCAATATTAATTATTATTTTTTTCAATTATATTCTTATGTTTACCTAACTTTTAATGAATTGCATTTTTTAAAATGAAAATGAAAAATAATATAAAATGAAACTTCAAAAAGTTATTTTTATGACAAACATGAAAATGATTACATTTCATAATTTGTGTATAAAAACTTAAATAAAAATTATTATAGTGTCGATTATGAAAATAAAATCCTAATTTTTTGTAATAAGAAAACCCTAATTTTGAAACAATATGAACAGAAATAAATAATAGGTACAGAATTGTAAGTTTTGTTAAAAAATAGAGTGAAAAGAGGGTCGAAATCGAAGATAGAGAAAATGTTAGAAGAGTGAAGAGACGTTGGTACGGTGGTTGGACTTGGAAGCTCCGTCGGGTTTCGATGAACTCGAGGAAATCCCTCTTTACTTAACACTCAGCAAAAATAACACACATTCTCATTTCTCATTCCTCATTCCTCATTCCATTCAACCATGGCACACCTTCTCCAAACTCCCTTCATTTCCTCCTCCTCCTCCCCCGCGCTCCGCCGCGCCCCCACTCTCCGCCGCAAAGCCACCGCCCCGCTCGTCGTTCGGGCCAAGATCCGGGAGATTTTCATGCCGGCGCTCAGCTCCACCATGACAGAGGGCAAAATCGTCTCCTGGACCAAATCCGAGGGTGACAAGCTCTCCAAGGGCGACAGCGTCGTCGTCGTCGAGTCCGACAAGGCCGACATGGACGTCGAGACCTTCTACGACGGCTACCTCGCCGCCATCGTTGTCGAGGAGGGCGGAGTCGCCGCCGTCGGATCCCCCATCGCCTTCCTCGCCGAGTCCGAGGACGAGATTCCTCAGGCCAAGTCCAAAGCCTCCTCATCCTCTTCCGCGTCCGCACCTGCTCCTGCACCTGCACCTGCACCTGCACCGGCGCCGGTGGAATCTCAACCGGAGAAGGTTGCGGCGCCAGTCTCGACGGCGGCTGCGGCTGCTCCGGTGGTTGCGTCCAGTCATCCTGCTTCGGAGGGAGGGAAGAGGATTGTGGCGTCGCCTTATGCGAAGAAGCTCGCCAAGGAGTTGAAGGTGGTTTATAGTTAGTTACAAATTCGTTAAACAGTTATGAATCAGTTAAATACTTAATTAATTTTTCCATAGACACTTCTTCCATAGGTTAAAAATTTAAATTAATCAAACTTCTTCCTTGAGTTAAAAATAACTTATGCAGCTCAACATTTGCCATTTAGAGAAGTTCAAATGCACGAGTTTGTATGAGCCTTTATGGGTAAAGCTACAAGTGTTTTCTAGAGTCTCTCTCAAGGAAAATATAACTCTTTATTTTTAGTAGAGAACTTCTCGGAAGAATTCATTTTTTCTTCTTATTTCTTTCTTCTATTAGTTGAAGTGAATTTTAACTTATAAGAGAAGTTTAATTTGTTTTACCTTTTTATATTCTTCTTTTATAAGGACTTGTGAAGAAGTTTATGTAAACAAGGTTTTAGTTACATTTTGTCACGTACGTGTAGGCTATTTGTTAGAGTTTTTCACCTTCTATCACATCCACATTTTCTGATTCCTTCAATTCTCTCCGTTTGTTTGGGTTCTTGCATGTTTTCCTACAGGTGGAGTTGGGGAGGATTGTGGGGACTGGACCGATGGGGAGGATTGTGGCTAAAGATGTTGAGGCATTTGCAGCTGCAGGTAATGTTGCAGCAGCGGCGGCACCAGGGAAGAGTGCAGTGCCTGCTGGGGTGGACTTGGGATCTGTAGTGCCTTTCACCACAATGCAAAATGCTGTGAGTAGAAACATGGTGGAGAGTTTGGCAGTTCCCACTTTCAGAGTTGGTTACACCATCACCACAGATGCACTTGATGCCTTGTACAAAAAGGTGAGCTTTGAATACACAATCCAATTTGGATGTGCAATATATCCTAGGTTGTTGTTTTCAGTTACCGTACTTATCGACTAAATCATGGGTTTTCAATGTTTGTTTTCTGTGTGTTGTTGATGTTGCAATGTTGTTAGAGACTAGGGAGGTCGTCGTGCCATGATTATAGATCCTTTGTGTTTGTTTTTTGGAATGTTCTAAATGTTTTCCAACTATGTTTCCTGGTTCTGCATTTTGGAGAAAGCTCGGTGCCTTTGGAGATTAACATTCATCTAAAAAAAAGAAGAAAAACAGGAGTTCACATACTTTGTAGTTTGTGTATAGCACTAAATGTGAATATTTGATCACAAAGTCAATAGCATATGATTGTGATTATGATTAATGCTAGATGAATATCACATTGGTTCTTTTGATATTTTGGTAAACATTGTGTCTAACATGGGAGGGCACTTTATCCAATTCATGTATTCCATACTATGTTTAGTTGGGATGACATTCTTGGTCCTTGTAATGATAGGAGTTTGTTCACTGACAGCCAATTTGGAAGGAGAGGATTCAGAATCTTCATAGAACACAAAAGGGATTAAAATAGGCTGGGAAATAAATTTATTCTCAAAAGTGATAAAGTGTACTTAATGAAATTTTGAGCTAAATAAAAAAGAAAAATACTAGCCACGTATGATTTTATGTTTTTCATAGAGTTGTTATTTGAGCCTGCTGCTGGCAGTTTATGTAGTTTGATATCTTCAGTTTTCAAATTATTTGTACGAGTACACTGGATTTCTAGTTTCATGCCCAAACTGTTTATATAATATGTGTCTATTGATTGATTCTATTTTATAAAATTTCAGATCAAGTTAAAGGGAGTTACAATGACAGCATTGCTTGCCAAGGCTACTGCACTTGCGCTGATTAGACACCCTGTTATGAACTCTAGTTGTAGAGATGGTAATAGCTTTACATATAATAGCAGCATCAATGTTGCAGTTGCTGTGGCTACAGACGGTGGACTGATTACACCAGTGCTTCAAGATGCTGATAAGGTTTTTAATTCTTTACTTTGAGCAGATTCTAATTTCCCTCCTACTAAAAGATGGTTCTTAATTGTAAAAAGGTACATTTGTTCTACATTGTAGATTGATGTATATTCATTGTCAAGAAAGTGGAAGGAGTTGGTTGATAAGGCCCGTGCCAAGCAGCTCCAACCTCATGAATACAGCACTGGTACAGCAATTAGATATTTAAATTTTATTGGTTTTGTTTTGTATCTTAATGAATTTTCCAATTTATTGTAGAATCCTTAAGTTTATAGGCAGGGACTAGGCATAATGATAGTTGACTTTACATTAATGTCATCAGAAGTCTATCACCACTTAGGAGATTTTTTTGTCCAAAAGAAAAGCATAGCTCAGAGCTCTAAAAAATGAATGACAATAGTGGAGTTCAAGGTCATGATTTTTGTGGGTGAATGTGTCTAAACTCTAAAGTTAATTCCGGTCTGAAAATTGGATTGGGATGCGTTGATGGATTATCTCCTACTTAGTTTTGTTCTTTGGCTGGATTGCAACTGTGAAATCAATGAATATGACGCTAACTTAATACATCAGTCATAGATTAGTTTTAGGCATGGAATGTGATAATATAGGCATACAATGTAATTTGTGGAACATCAGGACTGATGTTAGTATTTTGCAGCCTTTTTCATAAACCCATTTTAAATTATTAGAGCTGAGCTTTGATAATCAACATATTATTGAAGAATAAGGTTATAACTATATAACAAAGAAAACCTGTTTAAGTGGGGCTTGTCCGAGTGCTTGTCGAAATTCTTTTTCTGAGTGAGAGGCAAAGTGATATATGATACCAGAAAATTTGTGCAGATTAGTTTTCTGGGGGATTCTGATGTTCCAAAGTTGTATATTTTAAGATTTACAATTGTAAAGTGTGATTAAGGTTCCAAGAATAAATTGGGTTTGAAAGACTGAGGCACTGAGCAGGAGGGTTAATGTGGCTCCAAATATGACTTAGAGTTGTTAATTATGGGAGAGAAGAGGATTTCTGTTCTATTATCAGGCCACAATGGGGGCTTTTCTGAGCATAAGACTAAGGATGAAAAAAGTTCAATGAAGAGAGAATGTGAAGTCAAGTGATGTTGTGATCATCATTATTCAACAACAATGTGTTATCAGTAACAAGTTGGAGAGAATAAAAAAAATACGATTTAAAAACAATAACAACAACAATCAAAGCCTTATCCCACAAGTTTGGTCGGCCATTTGGAGGATATATAAATTGAAGCCTTCAAACTAATCAAAGACCAAAGTTTTAGTAAAGTAATTCGGCACAAGGTCTTAATGGTATGTCATATTGTTTTCTTAGTTCTCCTTTTACCAATTTTAATTGCACTATCTTTCATTTGATCCACTCTACTACTCACTAGAGCCTCCATTGATCTTCTTCTCATATAACCTAATCACTTAGGTGAGCTTTGGTCATCTTCTCAATAGATGTTACTCCATGTCCAAGTCTGAGTTTTCTTTTCTTGTATGACTACCTGATCCACCACAGCTCTATCTTCTTCACTTATTTTTTGCTTGCATTAGTACCAAATTTGATCAAAGATACCTAAACTCAGTTTTTCTCACCAATCTTAAATATCAGTTCTGACTTGACTTGAGTATAAGATACATATTTATAGATTTTGGGAGTTTTTTCGCCCATTAATCAGACATTACATTGCTGTATTTGAATGTTACACCTTCAATCCGTATTTGTGGCCTTTGGAATCTCAAATTCAGTTTAAGAATAAGGTTTTTCAGCCAATCAATTAAAATTGGATTTCTATGATATTGAGTTTAAGAATAGAGGCCATACTTTCTCTTATTATTCTGTGATATTCCTTGCTATTCAATGGACCCACAGGAACTCGTGTTGCTGTTGGTGCCTTGGTGGCCCATCTTGTGTGGGCTATAAAGGGTTGACTAGTTCAGTTCTGCCTGATATATTTGCTTTATTGATCCTGTCATGGGGATCTCTTGGAGAAGCAGGATACAGAACTATGACATTTGCCTAAAGAAACTATGTCGTTATGGTTGAACTCTGACATCCAATTGGACCAAATTAAGGTCTCTGATTCTGATATTTGCTCACTTATTGCTTTTATTTTTTATAGGTACTTTCACTCTTTCGAATCTGGGAATGTTTGGCGTTGATCGCTTTGATGCTATTCTGCCACCTGGAACTGTTAGTGTTTTTGCTTGTGTTCAAATATTGCAATAGATTGACTATTAGTTCCAATTATAGAATGGTGATGAGCAACATGAATGTGATCTTTCTCTGGATTTATTTTTGTAGGGAGCAATAATGGCTGTTGGAGCATCGCAGCCAACTGTTGTGGCTACCAAGGATGGTCGCATTGGCATGAAGAACCAAATGCAGGTATATGAGTCCACTCGAGGCATTTGTATTTCTAAGAGTATGACTTATTTATTGTTAGAGAAACGTAAATCTAGTTCCAGACTTCTGTTTCCTATAATCGAAAAAATGCAAATTTGCAGGTCAATGTTACAGCAGATCATCGAGTAATCTATGGTGCCGATGTAGCTTCATTCTTGCAAACCCTGTCAAAGATTATTGAGGACCCCAAAGATCTTACTTTCTAGTCTCATTTTCCTAACAAAATGAAAAAAAGAAAAAAAAGATCCTTCTCTGGGTAATGATTCCTCTTATCAGGTTGCGGGATTATTAATCGTCGACAAGCAGAAATTGAGGAGCCAATTGCTATTCACTCGGGATTTTGCAAAGAACAGAAGAGTTTTTATTAGGAAAAGCTGAACTATAGTTTCTTAAAATGACATTTTCATTCGAATATACCATTTACATTTTTATTTAATGTTGCCAGATTTTTTTTTCTTCGTTTTTCGGGATGTTCATTGTTGTCTAATAATGTCCATTATTTGTGTAAGCATAAGCTTATTTTTGGATTATAAATCTTGAAAAGTGAAACCCAAAGGAATGAACATCGACTATGTTATGGAACCACGAAAGGTTATTGATGAAGAAAATTGCTTCTGCAATGTGGTTGTCATAACATTTTGATTTGATAGCAATGACTGTAATAAAAGATCTGGTTGCACTAATTAGGGGGAAACTCCGCATTGTTTCAATATTGAACATTTTTCAATGGAAAAATAAACATAATTGAGTTACTTGTCCAGAGAAAATTTTGCAGGTTAGTAGTAAAATGCCAAGAGTAAATATACATTCAATAGGTTACTTAAAAAAGGTAGTTTCTACCATACATTTAAAATTTGAATCGTTTAGGTACCTTCTTCAATGTGTTCAATAAAATAAATACATGTTAATTAATAATGTCATATCAACTTTTTAAATATATTTTTTTATTTATTTATTTCATTTTAGTTTTTTTTTTATATACATTATCTATCTTTAACTCTATCAATTATTCTTTTTAGACAAAAAATAATTACCAGTTATTATTATTCCTTATCAATTTATCAAAGAGTGTGGTATTTTAAATTTGGTGCATTCACGGTGGAAGAAAATTGGAGGATGCAACTTATGCATTCATTTAAAGATGGTTAAAGGTGTGGATCGTCAACTTCTCTTACATATATGTGTCTAGTTTCACAACCACTTAAAATTGCCATCTATATTATTTTCGATTTTAAAAACTTTTGTATATAAATTGCTCGAAGTTATTTAATTTTGCTAAAAACAAAATTATCCCATCGAATTTGTTAACTCGGTCACAAGTTTTTTTTTTTTATTAATAAATTTTATTACTTTTGGGTCTGATTTGCTTAAGTAGAAAATCTTAAAACAACCCAATTGTCTTGTTAATTATATATTTATTGAAATGATCAATATTTAGTGTGGAGAAATGAAATATATTGAGTGATTTTTTTTTTTTTGTAAAAATTGATAATAATAATAATAAAACATTTGACAAATAATTGGCATGACAATTAAGCTGGTGCATATATTATTGTTGAAAAATACATAAAATTATCATGTATTGCGTTGAGTGAAAGAGAAATTAACTTGCATTAATATAGATCATTAATTTTTATACTATTTAATAATATTATATTAAATAATTTTATCATGTGATTTATCAAGAGAAAGATGAATCTATTGAAAAACCAGACCTGCATGGAAATCAGTTAGAAAGGGACTACAATTAAACTCGATCTTTACTCTTCAATGTTGTTTGCACCATATTCTTGTGTGTAGAAAGGGTGCATTGACCTAAAGTCAATATTTAATAATGTGGAATATTTTGACCTTATTTAATGTTCTAGCTTTTGGTTAAACATTTGTTAACTATAATTTATCTTGTGGAACAAGCGAATGTCATTTTTCTTTTCAGGCCAACCATGCAAACGAGATGTTCAAATTTGGTTGGTTGTGCGTCAGGTTGATTTGCTACCTTGTGTTATTGGGACGCCAAATCAGGAAACAACTTCCAATACCATTACACTATTTTATGGCCACAAATTTTGAGAGTAGAAAAGAAGCCAACGTCGCTTATAATAATTTGTAAAACAAATTAGTTACAATCCTTTATTTAGATATGAAGGAATTAGGGAGATGTTAGGGTCACTCGAAAATCGTATCGAAAAAGAGGTGTTTGTGCTTTGGAAAAACTACTCGAACAACACCTACCGGGAGTGTACCAAGGGTCTCAATTATTTACGCTCGAAAGACGAATCTGAGAAAGAAACACTCGAAAATAGGCAAAGGAGGTTACTACAGGTTTCCAAAAAGAGTTGGAGTCGAAACGAAGCAGTTCGTAAAAAGTAAATAAAAAAGGTTTAAAACACGTGGAAAGAACGGTTATGGGAAGTTACGCTTTAGAGCACGTATCTGATATGGAGAACGGTTACACACCCACGACACATGCATACGAAAGATAACTGCTCTTGAGAGTTTCTATAAATAGGCAAAGCTTGGCCTTTCACGAGGTCGGAAAAACTCATACTTGAATAGAGCTCTGAAGCACTTTCCGTCTGCGCATATGACTTTCGTGCATAGAATCATTTTTGGGTATGGTTGCTTCTTGACCACTTTTCTTTTTTCCTTTCTAGATTAGGATTAGTTTAGTCTTCTTATTTCTTGTAATCACTTAGTTTTCAATTACGTAAATTCTGACAATGTTGTAATGCTTGGATATTATGAACCATGATTTGCATAGGAAGTATATCTGTTGTTCATTCTGTTTATTTAAGCATCTATGCTCACGAACACTATTTTTTGATAATCATTGATGAATATCTAGAAACCAGTAATTATTAACTCTTCCTTCTACGTTCTTTGTCTTTAAATTGAATTAAATCAAATACCTAAATTGAAACCGTTTTTGGTGCTAGTCTGAATAAAAAGAATCCATAAAACGAATTCCATTGTAAACAAATTGGCACGCCCGGTGGGACACGTTTAAGTCAAACATAATTGGACTAGTTTTAGGTATGTGTGTTGCATGAGACTTAGGAGTGGAAGAACTATGTCTACATCTAATAATCAGAGAGATACAAACACGAACAATAATGATCACGTGGATGTAGAACAAACAAACCCCAACCCTGATAATGTGACCAATGTAACCAGGGGGCAGTATCTTCCCCTGTGCTACTCGAAAACACAGCTAGGCAAACAAATGTCACTCAGGACCTAGCAAACGTCACTAGGGAATATCCCTGGGGTATGCCACAGAATTGGCGAAATACTCAACCTGTACATGTCGAATTGCCAATACCGTTCTTAGGACCTAATCCACAAATGCACGTGTCCCCACAGGGATACAATCCTGGGCCAAACGGTTTGGGTTTTGTTATGCAAGACCCATATCAACACGTAGGAACAAGTCAGGAAGGTTCCTTGATTCGACAGGGTAGTTACGTACCTACTGGTATTAGTAACCAAGCTATGATGGCTCTTCGACAACAAATGGACCATAGTAATCATGACATGGTCAATTTTTTGTAAACTCAAATGCATAATATTATGACTCCTCTGTATGAATTGATAAATAAAATAGGAGATAAGTTAGGTGATGGGCCACCTTCGAGAGCTATGAGTGCAAATCTGAATGAGGTGGAAAATCCTGGGTTCGACCCAATATAGATCAAATAGTAGAAAGGATATTAAACAGACATGGATTCGATGTAGGTCGAAATGAACGTCCTTATTTTGTGTCAGCCTTCCCAGATTATGTAACTCAAGTAGAACTACCTAGAGGAACAAAAGTCCCAAAGTTTTCAAAATTTGCGGGAGAATTAACTGAGTCTACGGTCGAACATATAGCTAGGTATGTAGTCGAATGTGGGGATTTAGCGAATAATGAATATTTAAAGATGAAATATTTTCCAAGTTCGTTGACTAAGCACGCTTTTACATGGTTCACAACCTTGCCCCCTAATTCGATACACACTTGGATTCAGTTAGAAGGTAGTTTCCATGAACATTTCTTCAGAGAAGAAACGAAAGTTAGTATAGTCGATCTAATGAACATTAAGAGACAAAACCATGAAACTTTAGATGACTATTTAAATAGGTTCAGGCAATTAAAATCTCGATGTTATACTAATATACCTGAACATGAATTAGTTAGGATTGCAGCAACAGGGTTAGATTTCTCGATACGTAAAAAATTAGTGAATGAACAGTTGAGAGATATGGCCCAGTTAGCCGAAAAGGTAAGAAGAATCGAACAAATCAAGCTAGAAAAAGAAAGATTAAGAAAATTTGACAAATTTGTTCGAAAGGAAAAAATGGCTTATTTAGAAAATTCTGAATTCAGTGATGATCCTAACTATGAGATTTCGACTGAAGATTTTGAGATCAACTTAGCGGAATTGCGTCCCGGTCCTACGTATCAGTGTCAAATGTTAAAACCAGGAGATAGTGTCGAAGGAAATTCGACTAAGAGGTATAGTTTTGATGTGAGTAAGGCAGAAAAGATATTTGATATCTTATTAAAGGATAAACAAATTGTACTCCCAGAAAATCATAAAATTCCACCATTCGAGCAAAGAAAAGGAATTTTTTTTGTAAGTATCATAATATGTATGGTCATTGGACTAATAATTGTGTGCGTTTCAGGGATTTGATCGAGAGGGCGATTACTGATGGTCGTCTTGCTTTCGAAAAGAAAGACATGAAAGTGGATGTTGATCCATTCACTGCCCATACTGGCTATGTAGAACCAGTTTCGATGCCAATTAACATGGTTGATGTTAATGTCGAGGACGACGAAAACATCGAACCTATTTCAGATGATAAGCTCGAAGAACTAATGGAGGATTTTGCCAAAGAGGAGCAGCCTATTTACCCGAAAGAAGGAGATAGCCTGCTTGAATTTCTATCCAAAAAGAAGGAAGTTGATAGGGAGGTTATGCTGTGCCCCCGATGTAGTGCCGTCTTCGATAGAGCTGCTGCGAAGGCTTTCGAGGAGTCGGAAATAATGAAGAGCTACAAAGCCGAAAAGCTTCGTGAGAAGGCCAGGCTTAATGATGGGTCAAATGCTGGGTTGACCATGAGGCAGGTTCACATGCCCCAATACAATGCTCCAGTAGGAAAGATGGAAATGTATAACTTGTCAAGATTCGACAATACTTTTGTGCCGAATGTGAACGTACCTGTGGGAAAATGGACTGCTCCACCAAGGTCAATGATAGGTGGCATGGGTCGAGGAAAACAGGTAATGAGTTATACTGCACATCCAATGCAAGGAGCTCCAGGAAAAGTTTCAAATGTGGCTACAGGGCCCGGTAGAGTCCTGACTGGAGGTTATGGGCGTGGCTTTCGAAAACCTTTCAACAATCTAACCAAAACTTAGTGGAGGAGACAGCAAAGGATGCGTAAGGCTACCTTTGAAGGTGTCAGAGGAAACTGTTTCTCGATTCCTGTACCTTAGAAAGGGGAATCATCTCGAAAGTTTCTTGAAGATGACGAGGACATGATAACAAATTGTTTCGAGAGTGGTTTTGAGGACTCCCTAGAAGATATTTGTGGGATAGTCTCCATTCTGCATTCCGAGTATGCTGGGGCCATGGAGGCTGTGAATGAACAAGAGGATATTCATCGAGAAGACTTCTTCGATGACCCCAACTATGAA